AAGCTTCTGCAGCCTTCACCCTCCCAGCTTGGTAGGATTGTGTGCACCTAGGTAGTGGGTGAAACTGGCGTGCCACTACAGCACTGAGACTGGTCTACCACCCAAATAATATCTGCTCAACAGCAGCCCTCTGTTCAGAAACTCAGTCTGTAGCAGACAGAATTGAACTGACTTGTACAAACGCCTTCCATTTATTCTTTAAGTCAAGCCGTGGGAGGTAGTGGACTGAACAGCAGGTTGTTGGAGGTTGTCGCATAAAAAGATGTCAAAACAAGTTTGTAAATGGAGTTTTAGATGCCAACCAACAGTGCAATTCAATGGGGATTATACACTTACGCCCACGGTTGCTTGGGCAATAGGTCCATTCCTAAGCCAGGCCATGTGTCCAGCTACGTTTCTGATTAAGAATGGAACATGAGAAAATATTTTCTACACCTTTAAAGGGTAATGGCCTCCAAAAATGTTGTAAAGGTTAAACCGCCCATCACTGTCTTATTTCAGATGCCACGTTTCACTGTGACATTCGCTGACTTTAATCAAGCGAGAAGGCTGTGACAGGTGCCATGTTCGCTTCAATATGAAAACCTAAAGTAGTTGTGACTACAGGTTCACTTGCTCCATTTATGTGAATATATAGTACCAGGCATACTTTTGGGCACATGTACTCATAACAAAAAAAAAAAACAGGCAATCCACATATTAACTTTTAAAGAGGCACAGGTAATTATCATGATATAATTAATTATATCGTTATAATTATATTATACATATTATAATTATTTTTATTTTGAAACTAAATCTGTACAAAAGCATCACCAGTCTTAAAAGGATTCCAAGCATTTACGCATTTGGATCAAAATGTTTTAGAATTATGAAAAACATACATCCAAACTTTTGACTGGTACTGTACATCTCTTCCTAAAAAAGCTGTTTCCATCTTGAAACATGCCTGTTTTCTTCATTACCACATAAAGATCCATAGCGTCCTCTCATAAACTGGTCCGATTTGAACATAACACAGACGTGACGCAGCAGTTCAGCCCTCTAGAAGCCAAAGAACCTGTAATATACATTTTGCACGTTGTAATTGGTGAAGAAAGGCCAGACTGAAATCTCATTACGATCTTGAGGACGCTCGAAAGCTGTAACCAGCGCCCAGAGTCGACGGGGGAGCGGCACGGTCAGTCTGCTCCAAAACTGATCTCTCTCTTTCCCTCCTCGAGTCCATCTCCTTCCTCCTGTTGCTATAGCAACTGCTCGGCAAGGACAGGGGCATTGTGCGACGCGGCCCTCAGCGAGCGATCAATCACCGCATCCCTCTCTTATGCTTCTTAATTGCTTTTTGGACCGTCTTCAGGAAAACGGCAAGCGGCGAGCCGGGGGTCGGGCTCAACTAATTCACGCCATCGATTTATTCTAATGCGTCCCTGCCGTCCGCACAGAGACACCCTGAGAAAGAAAGACAAAAAAAATAGAGCGGCCTTCCCTTGATTGCATTTTAGCGGAATTTCTCCTCGATTTGAAATTGACCCCACTCCTCCCCCTCCAAGCCCAGCTTCCACCCCAAGATCAAGTGAGTGCGAGTATATGATATTGCCATTAGGGCATAGGCAAGGAATCGGTGGGTCATTTATGAGCGCTAACATATGACCCTGTTGTTGCCGCGAAACAAGACTGTGCTCAAACGGCAGATAGTAATAAGAAAAGGAAAACAAACTAAACCTGGTCCTATTTTCGTCCATGCCCTGACCTGAGGAGGGAAAAAGTAGAGGGTATGGTTTGCATGACTTCATGGTGAGGTAATCTCGGCTGTGTGATTACTCAGGCAAGCAGTGGCAGATGTCAGTTGTGGAGCTTGGATCACCCGGACGGAGGAAATCAGGTACATGGGGGGGAGGGCAAGGAAAACAAGGAGGAGGGTGGGGGAGGGGTGGAGAAGGAGAGTGGGGGCGGATAGGGAGAAGAGAGGGGATACCGTGGGGATCTTCAAGGGATTTTACGGCAATTTCCACCCACAGGCCGTTTAGTGTAGACTTGATTGGGTATCGTATGGTGGTCCACTGGTGGGCACATTAGGCTGCTCAAAGGAACCTGCTGTGCCCAACCCACTGTCCACTGTTTCTACTGTATGTTGACGTCAAAGGATAATGTATGAGGTCCCTGCTGGGTCTTTCCCCCCCTGCAGTTTCTCCACCTCCCTCCGCTGATTTACTGCCTGGCTTTGTTGGCAGGAACTCTGGCAGGGGGTCCCGAACTCCCTCAATCCTCTCAGCAAACAGAGAGAGGGACTCTAATCTCCTCTTTGTGCTGTCCCTGTTCAGAGTGGGCGACGGCAGCACAGACTAAGAAAGTCATGCTGCGGCCTCCGCTGGACCTCCAGATATGGTTTAGGAGGAGGTCGGCATTTGACTAGAGGAAAGTCACTCAGTCATTCAGGCGGGGGAAGCGAATGGCAGCTGAGCTTCGCTGGGTGTTTAAGTGGCCCATAAATATAAATCAGCCATTAAACATGTCTTTAAAGGCCGATCCAGGAGGTCAGCAGTTTCAATTCCGCAGGCCAGCTTAAGCTGGAGTAATGACAAACCGGAATGTGGAGGCAGAGATGTCTAGACCCACTGGTTAGATTGCAGATAGGTCCCGTGTTTCATGACTGGCAAAATGTTGGTGATGTTCAATTGGAGTTGTTGCACTTACAAGTGAACAACCCTCAGTAAATGGGCTTTGTTCACAGACCACCTCGGAACCTATGTCCATATGTCCCCTTGACAGCGCAAGCCACTGGTTTATGCTGACATCTGCTTGATGCCTTGGTGCTGTTTTTTCACAGGCGTCTTTCTCAAAGTTGGCGAGCTATAATAGTTAGCCGGAGGCAACAGTCACCCTTAAGTGCTAACTCCTCTAGACTAGTGCTAGCCTCTCTGGCCCTACAGGAGGAGAAGCAGTAGCCTCGGGAGAGGCAGCGGGACGCTAACTGGGCCTCTCCTCCACACGAGTAGGCGGAGATCAGCAAGGCTGCAGCGACTCGGATCGTCCTCGCTGTCTCATCCAGATGGAGCAGCAGGTCACGGTTAGCCAGTGAAGAAAGCGATGCGATCTGGAGGCGTAGTCTGCGGCTGGAACAGAGCTGCGTGGACGTCAAATTAATGATTCACCGCTTTCCCCGCTCGTTCTCAGCACTTTTCTTTTGTCTGAAAAGATGCATTGCAGGACATCTGCAGCGCGGTCCGCAGCACCTAATTGGAATCGCAAGTTAGTGAGCGGGCAGCCGGAAAGCGCCGCCTCGACAGCGAAGACTTGCACAGCCAGTCTGTGAATGCTGGTTATAATGTGTCGGAGGAATCTTCAGCCCTACCCGTCTTTCTGTTGTCAGACGTGCACACATTTTCTTTTCTCACACACAATTGCCAACACACACATTCGCTCGCTATGCCCTGCAGTCTTTAATGAGGAGTCTCGCTTTGTGATTATTACAGCACATTTGGCCCAGGCACTCTCTCTCTCCCTCCCTTCACTTTTTTCCCTCGCTCTCTCTCCCTCTCGCTCTGTATCTCTCACCCTTTCTCTCTCTCTACTGATGAGGCAGCGAGAAAGGCAGCGATAGCAGGCCCGGCAACCTCTGGGTAAATTGCTATGCCAGTTAAAAGAGGCCGACGCACGCCCGATTCTGCTGCCAAGCTGCTCGCGGAGCGGCCGCCGTAATTGGAAAGATCAAACGTGCCTTTGTGCAGCGCGGGGGGAACGGGGGGCCTGGGTGCTTAGGGACATCCGACTGGGGAAATCAGCCAGATGCACTGGAGATAGAGATCCTTCTGATCAAGCTGACAAACTGCTGCCGAAGTCCGCGCATACAGATTCAACATTCAAGGCCATTAGAGATTCCAGAAGATCATGAACTACGGAATGCAAAGCAAATAGTCACTTAGAGACTGTACCTCATCTTTTGATGAACAACTTGTGTTAGCCATCCTCTAGCGACCAGTTTCTGTCCACAGAGCCTCTCTGGGACTGGATTTGTTTGGGTGGTGGGCCATTCTCAACGTAGCAATGATACTGACTAGGTACTGGGTATTGTAAATCAGCTTCAATACTACAGAGTATTGACAAATATGTTATGCAGTACCTTAGTTGTTACACCCATAAGCCTGTTCCAAAATATAGCCTGCTAGTAATGTCAGTGCTTCTATTGTGCAATCTGTTGCAGTCAGTGAATTCCAGCACCTCAAGCTAATTTCTGGTTTAACTCCATAAGGCCAAAGCAAAAGAGTGACTATTTCTACCATTCTGTGCACTGTTTTCTATTAAAAATGCAATTTCCTGCTGTTGTTGCATTTAATGTGATCTAATAAGGCTGAAAATTGAGACATATTTATTTAACTACTTTTTCGAACAAGCAAACACATGAATAGGATTATAAGTCACACATCAGTCACATTTTATCAGTACTCTGATTAAACAAATCAATAATTGTGTACATTTGTGCCTTCAGCAAAAAAAGGAAGCCTTGTGCCTCTTGTATATAGTTATAGAAAATATGGTAGCACACAGAAAGCTCTGGCTCTACACATCGAACCTGGCATATCTTATTTGCAGTACTGGGTTTGTCAGGTTTATGCGATTAAGCCACACCCACTTTCAGAGTGCAGTTTATAGGAAGGTATTGGTTTGGTATCGGTGTATATATATCTTTTGAACAATACCCAAACCCAACCCTGTTAACCACCATTCAAATAATCTCTGGACAACAGTCGTCCTCTGGTTAGAAACTGACCAGTCCAGTAATGATTGGGTAGACGGGGGCTGAAAAATTATACAGATTGTACAGAAGCTACATCTATATAGAGGACCTGTAAGGTGGTTTATGTAGACCTCATAAAAGGCCAGTACGACGTAGCTTTTTGAAATAAAATGCCCGGAGAATTTTAAACACAAATGAGTGAAGTGTTGTGTGTGGGGTGGGTTTTAACATACTGGTTGTTCTAAAAAATTTGAGTGGGTCTCAGTCTCTTGTGAGCTGTATTTATTTACACAATTATGCATATTTGTAACAGAGTGAATTACTGTGAAATAATAGGGATATTCATTAAACAACAGCCTTCAACAGTCAGCGCGTTGTCTCTCTTCACAGATACGGTTGATCACATAGCTCTGAATCTAGCATGCATATGAAGCTGCACCTCTGACACACACACATGAGCACCCACACATACATCCACACCCACACCCACTCTATAAAGTCCTCCTCGATCACAGTTAACAGTAATTCCAAAAGATCACAGTCAAACGTCGTCCATGAGGAGATGTCCTTAATACTGTCACATGGAAGACAAAATACAACAGAGGTAAACAAAACATTTGGGAATCGACTTCGGATTCAGAAGGGTCCCGTGGTTCAATCCCTTGAAATTCGCTCCGAAAAGGGGACGGAGACGGCTTCAGCCCCTCAAGCGTCCTCTTTTTCGCTTCGCGGCCATCCCGCCCCCCTTTGGAAAAACATCCTTTCCGCGCTTCTCCTCTCTTCTCCGCTATTCCTTTCTTCAATATGAAGAAAAGATCAGAAGAGTCAAGTTAAGAAGGAAGAAAAAAGCAAAGCGAAAGGCATAGTCGAAAATGTCCTCAAGCTAATGTCAGAGCCTTTCATTTCTATTTCAGGCTAACATTAATTCACGTCTCTCTCTCTTTTTTTAAATAATACTTGGTTAGCTTATAATATTTCGGCCCGCGTCTTCACCCAGCGAGGCCGGCTGAGAAAGGGAAGAATTTCATTAAAAGAGCGCTTCTGCCCAGAAATGCTATGGCTAATAGTGAACAAAAACCTAAAAAGCTAGCAGGAACCTGTTAGCATACGAATGAGACAATGCTAAATGCGTCCCAGCTAGCCCTCCCCCGTTCTTAGCCATGCTAGCTTTGCTGTTAGCGCTTTTTTTAGGCCAGACTCTCCTTCAAAGGACGAGAAGAGGCTTTCCTCAACACATGCACACATGCAAACTGAACCTGAGTCATAGAAACATAATCGTCATGGATTGGATCTGCATAATGAACGTCCAGTGTAAACACGAAAGCCGTGAAAACGAAAAAAAGCCCGCCCGAGGCACTGCCACAGAGGATTCCAAAAAAAAAAACAAAAATATTCTGCTTTTTTACTCCACGTGTTCTCCTGTTAGCATTTTATACACATGTCTGATTGGTCCAACTGTTCTCTGAAGGTTCCTCAGATGGAGTTGGACATGGATAATCCAAAAAAACGACCTGCACAAGTTTCCAATAGCTGTCCAACAACTTGCTCCAGTAGTTTCCTGTGGTGTTACTGTTCCTCTCTCTTTTAGCCTTTTAGCATCGGCAGGTGGTTTTCGTAGTTGGTTAAACGCGGATGGGAAGGGTTTGGCTCATCTGCCTCATGTCCTGCACCCCACCTAAACTCTTCCTCTGGTGTCCAGGTAGGGTCCCGCCAACACGGTACAGATCCCTAGAGAGCGAGAACAAGAAAAGAGGATAGATTCAACGTAAGTCACAGCTCGACGACTGTGCCATTTAGAAGTCATAAAAACAGCTAAGCGAAGAAATTATGAGAGTCGCAAAAGGTATTTCAGTCAATTTACACTTGAAAGGAGCCACAGGCACGAACGCTCTTCAACGTGAATGGTACCCGTGTGCACATACACATAGCACACATATGCAGCTGCAGGCTCTGGAGATTGGATCATGGCACATCAACGGCATAGCCGAGGATGGCTCTTGCATACAAATGCTAGCATAAATGAATCATAGGCAGGCCATCAGCATGCACCTCCATGCGAGAGCGTCTCCCTCACGCCCACATACACGCACAAACACACACACACACACACACACACCCGCATACACTCTTCCATGCGTGTGCTGCCTCGCGCTCGGCAGCCCTTTTCAGACGGCACATTAAAAAGCTCATTAGTGAGCTAATTAAAGCCGTTGCTCTCTCTTAGCTTCTCCTCCGTCTCCCTTATTGGGCTCCCTCCATCACCCCCGCTATGACCAGACACCCTCCCACCCACCAGCACCACCACCACTTCCACTGCCCAGTGGAAAAAAGAAAAAAAAACACTGTGGTGTGTGAACCCGAAGCCTCGGGCCTGCTGTCGTCCCCATTTACAAACACGAGGTTACGCAGAGGTTAGCGCGCGCGTTTCTGCTTCGCAGCCAAACTCGACATTGTCACGGATCACGCGTGCTTTTTTTCTTTTTTTGAGCCGGCCGCTGAAAGATTCATGCAGTGAAAATTGCTTATTGTGAGAAGATACAACAGCTCAGGCAAGAGGCACTCAGCTGTAAACGTGAATTAGCATAGCTAGTCACTGAGGAGAGCCAGGCTAGTCACGCCAGTTAGCTTATCACACAAACAAGCTTATTTTTGATTTACAGTGGCTTTCCGGCCTAAAACTAGTTTAAAGTGTGTCCCTCAGCTTCATCATTTTGACAGAATTCACAATTTAGTCATGTTTTCTCACTACAATACCCAGCATGCATTGTGCAAACACTTCATACCGCCTTTAGTAATCTCTGTGCTGTCAACCAATCCAACTAGTCCAGGGTTTGACAGCATGCAGCTCTTTTACTGCCCTGTTGTGGCTCCACAGCTGAATTAGATTTGTAGGTAAACATAAAATAATCCTCCTTTACAGTAAAATAAAGCTCTGCTGATCGTTCAACAGTTTAACAATAAATGGTCTTAAACTCTGGAGTTAATGTAGAACTGCTAATTCACCCTTTAACCCTGAAGACTGGCGCACAGACTGCCGGTCACCATAGCAACGCAGACAGCTAGTAACTAACAAAAAGGCAAAGAGAAAAAATTATGACAATCAGCGATAATTTGGAGATGAATGGACTTATTTGCATTCATAATCACTCCAGCTGATTTCCTGATATGATTAATCCGCAACAAGCAACTGTCAAACACTAAAAAGTCGCAAGGCTGAAGTTTCTCATTCACCAGCTTCTAGTTCAAATTCTCCCGTTCCACCTTAAATGGTGCAGCAGTTACATTCTGGCGCCTCAGGCATCATTTAAGGTGGAACCGGAAAATTCGAACAAGAAGCTGGCAAAAAAGAAACTTCAGCCTCGTAAACAGTCCAACGTTGTGAGACATTTTACAAAAAACTGTTCTACTTTTGCTGAAAAGTTTCCTGCTGGAGATACGAGAAAAGCGGCTAAAGCTGAGCTAAAGCTTAAAGCAGAGCAAAGTAAGTCTGAGTTTTCGTTTATATTTTCAGCCTAAAATAAGACATTAGCACATACTGAGACATATTTACAGCCAGGATGGTAAACGTTACATAAAATGTTGTGGCTCCCAAGGTGGTTTGATTTTTGTTAAAAGGACAAAATGGCTCTTCTTAACATTTGGGTTGCCGATCCCTGAACTAGCTACTTATCTACAGGCTAATAAAAGCAACCAAGCTATCATTAGTGTAACTATTACTTCAATCGTCAAACAATATTGTAAAGAAAACAGTGGTTCCTTCTTTATTCAGCACAAAATGGTTGCCAGAGTTAATTTTTTTACCCTTTCAGCCAAAGTGAGGTAAGATATCTAGCTAGCAAGCTTTTAGCTTGTTATCCTCCTAATCTGGTGATTGTCCTCCTCAATGTGTTATTTGTTCTCTTGTAATGATGATTTAAAGAAAATTACTAAAGTTATTTGGCATTAATAATGATGATGAGTGTGATATTCAGTTTCTTAGCAGTAACGGTAACAATCTGGCTTCCTTCTGTATTCACCTGCTAATAAAACAAAAAAAAAAAAACAGGCCCAAAAACCCACCAGCTTTTCAAAAGGTCCCACCTTCAAGACACATCATCAGAAGCATCAGAAGGAGATTTTCTAGTTTTTAAACTGGAAAAACTCACTCTGGAGACCACCACTGCGCAACTGAAGGAGGTATGTATTAGTAGGCATGTTTACAGTGGTTACACTTTTCATCCTGACCAGAGTGTCCCTTTAACAGATGATGAAACATGCGGGGGTGTCCGCCATCCAAAAAAAAAACCCACAACAATAATAGTACATCAGAGATCTCTGGAAAAAATGGAGACTGACAGGCATTGTAGTGAAGACGGGTTTACTATTGTCTTAATTTGGTAAAGGCAGAGGAAGAGAAAGCATTGTTCCTGGACCCACCCGACTGCACAAAGAAGTACCATCTACCCTACATATTGACAATGATGGATAAAAGCCCCACTATTTGCTCTGCCAAGTTGCTGAGCAGTTCCCTGCCAAATGATGCACTTGAGTTGCCTGTTTTTGTAGTCTTTGTGTTTTTATTGTGCAGTTCTTAGTGCTGTCTATGAGTATATCAGCAGTGCTGTTGTTATAGAGGCTGTTTACAAAAGCCTTGAAAAGATACTCTGGTCAAAATGAAAAACTTACATAGCTATATCTGTTTAACATGCTTACTCGCATCCTACCGTGGTGCTGCACTGGCCTCTAGTGAGATAGACCATACAGACAAAAGTATTGGTCCAAAAAAAGCAGGGTCCATAAAGACATGGCTGGGTAAGACTGGTATGGAAGAACTCAACTGGCCCTCACAGAGCCCTGACCTCAACCCCATCAAACACCTTTGGGATGAACTAGAACAGAGATTGTGAGCCAGGCCCTCTCGTCCAACATCAGTGTCTGAACTCACAAATGCTTTTCTGGATGAATGGGTGAAAATTCCCAGACACTCTCAGAAATCTTGTAGAAAGCTTCCCAGAAGAGTGGAAGATGTTAGAGCTGCAAAGGGGGACCAACTCCATATTAATGCCTATGGATTTAGAATGGGGTGTCATAAAAGCTCCTGTGGGTGTAATGTGTAGGTGTCCCAGTACTTTTGTCCATATAGTGTATTTTCAAGTTTAAAGACTAGGATGACTACAGCTGCCTTTGGGGTGGATTTCTGGGGGTTGTTTGGATTTTTTTTTCGTTAGCTGGTGAACGCGGAAGCTAACGTTACTGCTTGGAAGCCTAATATCTTATGGCAGCTGCACAACTGTAACTGTGCTTAAATCATCATTACAATGGAGAGAATCATTATTCAAATAACAGAAGTGACTCATCAGATGAGGAAGACAACGAGGTAAATGTTAAAGTTAGCACGGTACCTGGCTATTTAGACATCTTTGGCTTTTTTTCTCTGACTGAAAGGGTAAAAATCTCGTCACTGTGACGAATACAGACAGAATGGCTGTTTTGCGATCCTGTTTGACGACTGAGGTAAGAGTTACACTAATGCGAGATCGATTGTGTTTATTAGCCCATGGATCAGTAGCTAGGCTTGCAGTCGTTATTGGATGACACCACAGGGATTCCTAATGGCTGTATGATGTATTTGAATAATGCTGGGTACTGTAGTGACAGAACATTGATAAATGAAAAATAAAAACGATCGTTAATTCTGTCAAAATTATGAGGCTGAGGGATACAATGCTGTGCTACAGAGTACTGCATAACAACAAGCAACATATCACTGTTGTTGGAAGAAAACCTCGTATCTCCAAAATGGTTAACAGGAGAAGGAAAAAACCTACTTCACTTTTAATGTAAGTCAATGGAACCAGATTTTTCCCAAGTCATTTTGGGCCGTTTCTCTTGGTCCATCCATCATGAAATGTACACACAATGTGAAAAATAAAGGCGTTTTCAAATGATGTCAAAAACTGAAAAACGTCAAAAATGGAGATACCAGGTTTTCTTCCGACAACAGCGATATTAAACTCTAGTTTTTTAGCCATTAAGCAGTATAGTGTATGTGTGCTGCACTGTACTGCACTGCCAAGATTTTGGGTTATATTTCGAGAAATTCAGTAACAGTCTTTCTCTGCACCCTAATTGTTTTTCCACTTCTGCCCACACTGATGTGATGCTAGCATTTTTTTTTTGCAGCAAAATAGTGTAAAGAACATGTTGGCCTTCAAATATAAAGCCTAAATATGGGACTATGTTACATAAAGCCTTAGTCATAAAGCATGCGGTCACTCGCTTCACTCAGCTTTGTGGTCAGAAAAAGAAAATGGATACAGGTGCAGAAGCAACCCGATCGTGGCTCACCCTGAGTGTGCAGAGGTCAGCACTTTGAGGCTGGCGGCGTTGCGCAGGAGTTTGTCCAGCGTGCTGACGATCTGTGCGAAGCGTGGCCGGGCGTTGCGCTCCTTTACCCAGCACTCCAGCATCAGCTGGTGGAGCACGGCCGGGCAGTCCATCGGCGGGGGCAGCCTGTAGTCCTGCTCCACTGCGTTCATCACCTACAGCAAGAACACAAAGGCATGAGAAGTCAGAGATGCACTTTCAGACTGCTAGGGCTTTAGACTAACTGTTAGTGGTGGAACAATAATAGAATTTTAGTATCATGACAATAACTTAAATATGATCACAAGTATGTACGTCTGTAACCAAAGAATAGCTCAACCAGTTAGCACTGAAGTCCCCTTTAGTTACTGCATTACTAAGCCTTAGTAATTATTAATTATTTAATAAGCCTTGGATTTTAAGGGGTTACGCCAAATTTCATGGAGAGAAAACACTCAACTAGCTTTGAGACCCTCTCTGATACTGTGTTTTGATATTTGTTAACATAAAAGCATCACATTTTTAGAAAAAAAAAAACGTATCTGTGGTGTACAGAGGCAGCCAGTAACAGCTTCACCTTAGCTTTCAGCTTTCCAGGTTAAGAGTTAAGCAGGTTCACCAGATGTATTTTTATTACAGATGCACCGAAATTTCATCCACCAAACTTTTTGGGCTGAAAATGATAGATATACAACGAAGCACAGAAATGTAAGGCTTTGCCAACACATTTAATAGTAATAAAAACAATGAGAAACAGTGATTTGTTTCCTCTGCTATTTTTCTGCACCGGTCAGTGCAGATGTGTTCAAACAACTTGAGCGGCATCAGATCAACAGTGAAAATATCAGCCGTGTGCAGCTTTTTTATGATTTCCATGAGGGACATTACACAAGACATTTATAATCACTGTTCAAGTCGATTATTAAGAGGGTGTACAACATCCAAGAACATCTCCGGTTATTTTTTCAGGCCTGAAACCACCTGAAAACACTACATCCCGCTCAATACGCAGAAACAACAGAAGCAGAAACTCCCTGCTAGCGCGCTGACACCATCTGTAGTGTTTGAAATTCTAAAAAAAAATCACTAATGACAAAAAAGTGCAAAGTGTAAGTATAAAAATAATGAAATCCATTGCCTTAGATGATGCTCTGAGAACACTGGAGCGTTTCGTGGCACTATTTAATCTTGTAGTCTACATACTGTAATCACTTTAGTAAGTTTATGTGAACTGTTTTTATTTATTGTCAGACTTGTGTGTCCTGAATTTTGGTTCCAGCCAAGAATTTTCATTTCATCACTAATTTTCATGGGCTGTAAGTACATGCAACATAACCAGCGACAGGCAATACAATAACATCAACATCAAAACATGAGAAAGGGTGTTATTATGTCTGCTATCGATGCTGTGTACCCTGTTATCTGTTTTTATCATGCCAACACTGGTAACTACAGCGCACAGCAAGCTGCAAAGGAATGCTTCGCCCAGAAATGCCAACGTTGCTAGTGGAGGCCAGTTAGCGTTATGTAAATGAGATCATGCTGACTGGTTCCCGAGAGATTTCCTCTCGCTGTTAGCCACGTTAGCATTTTCGGGTGATACGAGAGAGAGAGAGAGAGAGAGAGAGAGAGAGAGAGACAGCGCTTTGCAGCAAGAAAGCTTCTTTAACAACGGCTGCAGAGTGACACTGACGTGCGAGCCGAAGATGTAGATGCGTTCGTGCAAACTTTAGTGATAACACGCTCTTGCCTGCACTGTAGATTTGTGGAAACTGAGCTAATATGGGCACAAAGAAGTGGAAGCGCTACAGTGCTTGCTTACATCTTGGTTGCTCATATCCCAGTAGGGCCGCTCTCCGAACGACATCACCTCCCACATAACGATGCCGTAACTCCACACATCGCTGGCTGAGGTGAACTTACGGAAGGCGATAGCTTCGGGGGCAGTCCAGCGGATTGGGATTTTTCCACCCTGTGTGAAGAGAGAGACAGGGAGAGAGAGAGAGTGAGAGAGAAAAAGTGTGAGAGAGACACACACCCACACACCACATAAGCCATTTGACTCAGGCACCAACTTCAAACCGACCTGCAGTCCGCAGATGCCTAATTAGAGCAGAGACTGAGCACTTTCTCATGGGCTTCCCTCCCCGGGGTTTTCTCACTGTGTTCATTGATTTCAGCTGAAGACACAAGCAGCAGCAAAGTGGCAGAAGCTCGCTCCCTGCACCCTCGGTCTGAACCAGCTACGTCTATTACAGCTTTAATCACGCCTGAAATGTTGGTCTGAACCCGAATACAGGAGTACGATTCTGTCCGAGACTGATCCGAATATAACGAAACTCTGTTCAAAATTCTGTCTAAACATTCGACCTGATACTGACCCAAATACAACAAAACCCTCTCCGAAACTGACCCAAGTGCAACAAAATTCTGTCTGAATCTGACCGGAGTGTAACAAAATTTCGTCAAAAACAGACCTGAGTGTAACAAAATTCTGTCCGAAACTGACCCAATTGCAACAAAGTTCTGTCCGAAACTGACCCAAGTGCAACAAAATTATGTCCCAAACTGACCTGAGTATAACAAAATTCTGTCCGAAACTGACCCAACTGCAACAAAATTATGTCTGAAACTGACCCAATTGCAACAAAATTCTGTCCGAAACTGACCTGAGTATAACAAAGTTCTGTCCGAAACTGACCCAAGTGCAACAAAATTATGTCCCAAACTGACCTGAGTATAACAAAATTCTGTCCGAAACTGACCCAATTGCAACAAAATTCTGTCTGAAACTGACCCAATTGCAACAAAATTCTGTCTGAAACTGACCCAAGTGCAACAAAATTCTCCCCAAATCTGATCCCAGTATAACAAAATTCTGTCTAAAAATATTATATTAAAATAATCATGTTTTTTCAGATTTACCACTATTGTACCATCATTAACATTAATATAAAAGCTCAGCGTGAATGATGCGTGTAGGTTCACTCGTGTTACATAGTAAATAAAATGGCTATATTTGTGTTGTAGACATTGTGACCCCTGGTTCCTATCACCACCACTGTAAAGAAATCTGTGTCGGTAAATTTCTCCATAATAAACCATCACTCTGAATGACCTGTTTACAGCTCAACTATTAAACTCTGCTGAATAAAATCTACAGAATTCCCCTTTAATGATAGCTAAGAAATGCATATAACAAAATAATATTGGAGCATAAAAAATGTACAATACTAACCATTAAACGCAAGAATCCTTACCACAACACTAAAGCCTAAATATATTTCCAGATGCAGTCCCTGATGTAATCCTCACTGCCTGTTTCTAAAGTGAAACGTGGCTCACATGGTTTAAACAAGATGTTCCTCCATTTAGAAAAGCAGAGATACAGCAGTAGAGTTACATATGAAACCCATTCTTCATTAGTGGTAGTAATAGCAGTAGGTCACAATATGCCAAATTATGGATATTACACATAAATATCATGCATGAAGTACCATTTTCTTTACTGTTACAAGCACTAGTAGTCATATGAGGACTGTGGATATACCACTGTTCTAGCCAAAGGTGTAGCTTTATTGTGTTATGTGAAAAAACAAAAGGTGCCACAAAGAGTTCTTTAATGCCATAGAAGAACCATATTTAAAAAGAGATCAAATGTTAGAATAATGTTATAATGATAGAATGATTACAAAAAAATATTTTTGCGGAAAGGTTTCCTGCCGGAGATGCGAGAAAAGCGGCTACAGGTGAGCTAAAGCTTAAAGCAGAGCAAAGTTAGTCAGCAATTTCATTTATATTTTTTGGTGTATACTGGTATATCAGCACATACTAAGACATATTCAAAGCCAAGATGGTAAAATGGACATAAAATGTTGTGGCTTCCAAAGTGGATTTTTTTTTTTGGATAAAATGGCTCTTCTTACCATTTGTGTTGCCGACCCCTGAGCTAGAACCTTTATATCATGCCTTTTAAGACTTTTTTCATTTTGTCAGTTCATGCCTCCGGTCATCTTGCCACCAAATCATATCATTTAAAAGGCAAAATTCTAGTTTTTCTGTAAACTTCCATCAAAAAGTAATGACTATTAACCTTGATGACTATTAACCTTGCCCTCCACCTCCCTCCAGTGCATTTAATGCAATTTCAATGCATTTAAGGAAAAAACGGTTCTTCACAGACTCATTTACAAAAAAAAGCAATGACTTTTCCAAAAAAAAAAGGGTTCTCCAAAGAACCATCTACTGAAAAGTTTTTAGGGAACCAAAAGTGGTTCTTCTATGGCATTGTGCAAAGATGTGTGTGAGTTTATGGCACCTTTTACATTTCTTTTTCCCCCTAAAATCAGCAGAACAATTACCTATTTAAGTAAATTATATATTTGATCAGGGATGAAACTTCAAACTTTCACAAATGACTGTACATGTTTGCTGTAGAGCAGCTTCACTCATGGTCGACTCACCAGGGAGCTGGTGTAGGTGGGGTCGGACGAGTTGTCGTCTAAAAAGCGGGACAGGCCAAAGTCGGACACCTTGCAGACCAGGTTGCTGTTGACCAGCACGTTACGGGCAGCCAGGTCGCGGTGGACGTAGTTCATGTCCGAGAGGTACTTCATGCCGGCCGCGACGCCTCTCAGCATGCCGACGAGCTGGGTTACCGTGAACCTGCCGTCGTTCAGCTGGAACGGGAAAGACAAAGCTTGAGCGACATTCACAGATACACGACAACGCTAGTCTTGGGCTTAAATCAGATTAATCTGCCCGACAGTTCTGTTTGACTGCCCTCGTGGCATTGTGTAATCTACTTCGAGATAACGGAATGGCAATATTATGATGTGCAAACTCGCTCATCTCGGCGGTAGCTAAGCTCCTGGGCAGAATTCCTTCTGCCTGTTAATCCTTGCATGCATAATGTAATGACATCCCTTCTTTCGGCAAGGCGTCGAAACCTTGCCGCTCAAAAGCTCTTTGTTTCCGATGCGAGAACAACAGCACGTCTCGGCGGAAGAAGTGCACTCTACCATGCTAAGTCCTAAATGCTAGCAAAGGAAAGGCCTCCGAGACCTGATTCTCAATCCTGTCTCCTCTCCGAATACCACGACTCACACTAAGCCCTGGAGCAGGAGGAACATCATCAGATCATTAACCGCTCGCACGTGTCGCAGTTGCAAGATATAAAGAATCCGCTACGAGGTTGTCGAGGTTGTTTTTCTCCTGTCCTACCGATGATTCACACCAACGCTCGTGTTGGTGGGCACATGTAGATGCGTGTATTGTGTGTCCTGAGCTAGCGACGGCACAGGCAGTTCCGTTAGGAGATGACTCGAGGGAGGGAGAGAGAGAAAAAGCTGAAGGTTGACTCATGTGCCTTGTGCAAGGGATGCCGTGCTGTCTTTAGTCCTGGTCTCACAGAAAGAAGCACGGCTGACTGTAGGGTTATAAAAGGTACGGCTTCATTTAAGAACAGGAGTGCATCGCAGGGGTGATCCCGGGTTCTGCTGAGTCTAATTCCGTGATGACCGCTGTCTTCGGAGATGCCAGAGGCTGAAGGGAACCTGAAGTGAGGTGAACTGAGGTTATTTTTGAAAAGTCCCAAATGCCACGGCTTACGCTCTGGGGGGTCAGCAAGTTCTACCGTCAACACACAAAAATGCCAACTGGAACTGCCTTAGTCAAAACAAGGGTCTTAAAATGGTGAGGAAAATCTAGCCAGAGTGCGCAGAGGGCACAGCTCATTACTCTTTTATCAGGGCACTGTTTCCCTGAAGTTTCAGGTTAAGGCTGAAAAATGAGATGCTTTTAAGGAATATTTTGGCAAAATAAATCAAGATTGCAGTATTTTCTCCTTTATCTAAAGTGTAGTCGATCATCCAAGTCATGTTTGGTGTCTGAAATTTGCTCCTTATTTTTGCACTACAAAATGTAGCTAACAAGTTAAGGAAGCTTGTACATCACCTTGGGCGATGATGTAAATTTAGGCAATTACTGTCTGCAGAACTACTGCGTATGCAATGTTGTACTCAGAAATTTAGGCGTCCCTGGGCAACTGACATGTTTTGTTGATTTTCTAAGTACAAAATAACAGTTTTTTTGCTCAATTTAATATATTGAAAAAAAAAACATAAAATGCGGCCTATGTAAACGTTTTATATTTTATCGTGAACTCAGCAAATAAACAGAAATTGTGCACTAAAATGCCATATGTTTGTGTTTGTTCCCTATAGAGGTTGTATTAACTTACTTTTGCTTAGAAAAACATGTGATTTGATTAAGTCGGGGTTACACTACCTACTACTTTGAGAGGCGCAGACTCAGATTTTTGGCCTCTTGATCGTGTTTCAGACCCGTCAGAGTTTATCAAACGTTTGACTTTTTCAACCCGACTCTGAGTGTAATCTATTGTAAACTGGTCAACGACTCAGTCTGAACGGATTCCTGCAACAGCCAATGAAAAGTGAGAGCACAAAAGAAGAAAATACCGCAAGTTAAACCAAGAAAAATGGTGAAAAGTCTCTCACGTGTAGAGCGAAGCTTTTTAATGAGCTGAGTTTAATATGTCACGAGCACAAACGAGTTTATGTACATTTAAAACTCTAAAAAAATAACACATTTTTTAATTCATCAGTCGTATAGTGTGAGATGCCCAGCCTTTTTATAATCTGTTAAGACTTTAAAAGTCGTGTAGTGAACCCAAGGTTTTAGGCGTGTTCAAGCTTTTGCATATGACTCTACATTCTGCATATAACATCCAGTGGTCCTCCATGTTCGTTTGGTTGGAAACCAAAACATTGCCAAACTGGCATGCTGGCATCCTTCTTCTGGACAAGCTTGTCCGTTTTACTCTCCACTGAACTCCAGGCTGAATATCCGTATTATAAAATTTCCAAAGGGCATTCATAAAATATATGCTTGTAGTTAATTAGTTTGATGATGTTCTGTTTCCACAGTCTATAATTAAGTGCTTTTCTTTTGTATATGTATTTTAATTAATCATAGATTAGAGTAACTGTACACAGGGACTACTGAAGCAACACGTGAAAGAAAATGAAAGTATGCTTATTTGGGTAAAATCAGCACTTACTGAAATTATCGTGGTATTGTGATAAGCTACATACAGAACTATGTGATCAGTTACATTTGAGGACTGTGTAAATTTCAAATGCTCTTCCATTTGACAAAGTTTACAAAGCCTGCGCTCACTCTCAGGTGAACTCACCCTGAGGAAGGAATCCAAAGCGCCGTTCTCCATGAACTCAGTGACGATCAGAACCGGGCAGCTCCTGGTCAGCACTCCTTCCAGGTGAATGACATTAGGGTGGTCAAACTGGCCCATGATGCTGGCCTCGGCCAGGAAGTCCCGCCTTTGCCGCTCCGTGTAGCCGGCTTTCAGCGTCTTGATGGCCACAGTCACTTCCTTCCTGCCGGGCTGCTTCAGCCGACCGCGACACACCTCCCCGAATTCTCCTAAGGGTTTGGGAGGGGGGGAACGGGGGCAGGAGGACGGAGAGAAGGGAGGAGGGCAGTGGAGGAGGAGAGTGAGGGACGGGGGTTTTGGGGTGGGGGAGGAATACCGATTTGAGCCGAGGGCCAAAAACTGACGAAGATTCATGTTGTCTTGCGAAAGAGGGTGCAAAAAGAGAGGAAAGGAATGGAACAGGGGAGCGGTCAGGGGTTGTACAGGCAGGGGACGGATGGGGAGAAAGGACGAGACAGGAGTCTGGGGGCTGATGATGGGGAGGGAGGGGACAAGAGTTTGAGGATAGCAGGAGATTTGGGGTTGGGTCCTGAAGTGGGTCCCAAATGTGTTATGCAAAGAAAAAATGAAAAGCAAAGTGGAGCGAAGGAATGAGAAGGAGGCAGAAGGGAGGAATGAACAAGCACAGGCATAAAAGAAAGAGAGAAAGATGAAGAAGGCAAGCAGCATGCGGTCAGTTAGTTCAAGTACAAGCTGATTGTTGTAGCTGTCCATACTTTTTCTGTACTTTTGTTCTTTTTTTTTTTGTTAGTCTACTTTGCATTCTTAGCTACATGTGCTTTGATATTTATCTTGATTGTGCGATATACTGTAGACACAATAGGCTGCATGATAGAGTACCTGAGAGGTGAGTCTTATTCAGTGTTTCACATACTGTACTAAATCCAATTAAACAGACCTAATTATGCAGCTGATCAGAGTAAAGAAATTGTTCGGTGGAAAATCAAATGTACACAACTTTCCACTTCCCCCAGCTGTGGCTGATCAGCTGAGACAAATTTGGTGTCTTCATTAGTTTAGAACTGGAGCCACAAGGCTACTGTTCCTAACAAACACTAGAAGTCAATAGTCACCGAAATCTTTTCTGCAAATACACCCCTAAAACTTCTCTCAACTCGCTCAAACTGCTTCCAGGTCTTCATTAAGAGCAGTTTAGGATGCACGATTACTCACTATAAAAATTAACAGAACTTTTTATAGCTGGACACTGCAGGCAGCCACTTATTGGCATCTATATGGAAGCTACACAGGTTACATTCAGGATTTCAGTCTGAGTTTATAAACAACTGATAATCTTATTTTCCCAACTTAAGTTTATAAATAGATAAATAATAAACCTTGTTCCCAAAAAAGCTGGGATGCTGTGCAACATGTAAATAAAACTAGAATGCAATGATATGCAGATCACGTAAGGCCTACCTTTAATTGAAAACACTGCAAACACACTCAATTTTTACATACAATTTTTAAAAATTTGATTGTTTTTTTTAAATATATTTTTTTTTTAGTTTAAATGATTTGAACTTCATTGCATTTTGTTTTTATTTACATTCATTCACATACACAGCTTCCCAACTTTTTTGGAAACAACGTTGTAAATGTAGTTCAAAGTAAGTGATACTGTTTCCTAAAGTTTGGGGATGTATTTACAGAAAAGATTTGGGTGACTATTGACTTCTAGTGTTTGACAGCAACATCAGCCTCATATTTCCAGTGCAAAAACAAGGATATCAAATATGTCTTGGCAGACCAACTACATCTGAGGTAAGAGGAAAACTGTAAATGAGATTTTTTGCCAAACCGTTCATATAAGCAATGATGATATTCATGATATACCAAGAAAAGCATACTGTGACAATTTATCATCATAGCCATAAAATATCATCATATTACCCACCTCTACTGCACAAGGTTTGGATCATATTCCAATAAATTTGTGCAGCATACATGTGTTGTATTATTTCTAACTCTGCAGTCACGGCTGCGTACAATTAACCTTCTGTGTTCTTTATTCATATCAATGTTAACTACATCCTTGTTAACGCAACCTTTAATTAATGAGCATTTCTACAAATATAGTGTCATTAGTGGTACTTACATCTAACACAAACTGACCTGCAACCTATAATTAGAGTCAACATTACGAAAAAAATGTAATATTTTCTTATATTTTTCTGAAAAAATTGAATATTTTCTTATATTTTTCTGAAAAAATTGAATATTTTCTTATATTTTTCTGGAAAAATGGACAGCGTAGAGGTAAAGTCATGCAGCTAGTAAACGTATGTATGCATTACAGAGTTAACAATGTGGATGTCCGAATAACTAAAGCGTCCATCCTAATATGGTGCTGTTTTGTACGTGTAAAGAGCTCAAGATGGACATTTGATGCTTCGCTAATCTCTTCTAGCACTGCTCAAGCTAAAACACTGGCTATCACGATACACTTAGATTAGATGTTGGTGTTTCTCTTTGACACCTGATCTGCGGAGATGGTCAGATACGGTCAGAGTGGTGCTGTTTGCTTCTTTATGCTTAGGCCTGGCTGAGCGCTCTCTCCAGCGTGAAATGGCTTTGCTCACCTGCTCCGATGACTTCCTCGATCTTCACGCAGGAAATGTCGATCTCGCGGGCGAATTCATGGACGGCCTCGTTGGGGTCTTCGTAAGTGAACGGGTCGATGTACACTTTCACGCCCGGAGACACTGCAAGGAGAAGAGAAGGCTTAACGCGTCTCGTCTGCCTGTGACGATTTCTGTAAGCCAGCAAGCTTTGATGTCATTCGCTAAAGGACTGACTGGGAGGCCCTTTGAACAACAGGCTGGCTCTCCATACATGCCATAAGAGTGCATACAAGAAAATGGCTGGTATTTTGAATGTAGGCTAGAATGTTCGTTAAAGGAGTTGTATTCGTCCAATTTATGTCTTTTGAATTCTAATTTGCCTTTGCATATTTGTGTCAATAGGCTGGTGCAATGTTCTGAGCTCAAATCACTAAATAATGACAAAGAATTCAGTGACATGCACTCACACACGTATACAGTGCTTCTGTAATTCACCAGGACATTTTTGCCTTGTTTGCCTTGTTTGTTGGAGGTGTATATTCATATTTGTACAGACATTCAAATAGTCTCTATTTTCAGTGCTAAGCAAGTCAGAGACCAGCTTTTATGTATTTCATATTCAGTCAAAACGGCCATTAAGTACAAAGTTATTTTTCAGCATCAGGAGAAAAACATGTTCTATTTGCTTTAGAACAGCGTCCATTCTTTCAATGAGACTTGCTTTCAGTTTTTTTTAAAGAAATCTGCAGGGATATTTTTCCACACCACCACAGTTCAGTCTTGGAAGTTGGTTGTATTTTCTGCTTCTCACAATTAAAATTTAGACCCCTCAGCCCACAAAACCTCACTCTGCATCTCAGATGTCTAATTTCAGGGATCTATTACAAATTTTCTTCTTTTTTGTTTATTTTTTTCTCAGCAAGAGCTTCTCAACAGCTACACATCCTTTCAGAGCCATAGCGTTGAGATTTATTTATTTATTTATTTATTTATTTATTTATTTTACTATGTTGGCTTGAAGAATACAGTTAGAAGAACTCAAACCTCATATCTCCAAAATGAGAACTTTACAGGAGAAGGAAAAAACACACTTTATTTTCAATGTAAATCAGTGGAACCAGAATTTTTTCCAGTTCATTTTGGGCCATTTTTCATGAAATTTACACACAACGTAAAGGACAACCGGGCATTTTCAAAGTATGTCAAAAACTGAAAAACGACAAAAAATGGAGATATGAGGTTTTGTTCTGACAGCAGCGATATGGATCTGTTAAATTCCATCAGCAGCTCATCTGAATTAATTTAATGAAAAATTAGATAATATTGGGGAACTGTAAATACTGGACTTCCACAAGGACAGTTTTGAGATTCACATCATGAAGTAATTTTTTTTATGTACAAATAAATGTTTACTGTCCATATAAACAATGTAACATATCATTTTCTCAGACTTGTGCACAGTACTGTATGAATAGGGACATATATAACTGTATTAAGGCTTAATTACGGGTTATTACTCTGAACACTCACCGTACTGCTGCAGTTTCTCAGTGTACTCTAGCTCGGAGCCTGTGCGCTGCCTCCTAAAACCAGACCAAAACATATTCACATTGTGAGCTCATACAGTATTTTCTCCTTGCTAGTCAAAAAAAGCAGTCAAAAGTTTGGACACACCTAACTGAATGGATATTTACATAATATTAGATATTTTGACATTCTGAACTGAAGCCTTACATCTAAATGCTTGCAGTTTGTTTCAAGACAAAAATTGGAAAAATCTGAACCCTCTTTTATTGCATTGACCTTATTACCATGTGTGCCTTGTTAAAAGTCAATCAGTCCTTGTTACTACGATTGAACCAATCAGGTGTGCTTTTGGAGGGGTTCTAAATAGATCTATTTCACAAGGCCAATATTTCTGATTGGAGTAATTCCATACGTGTTATTTATGAGGTTAGGTGTTATCGCAAATGATATCATGGCTATGATTGGGTGAGTACCATAAACCATCAACGCCATGACTTTACTTGTGATAACACACAACATTGTGTTAATAGAGTTTTCTACTGCTTGTATACAACAGTTCTGCAAAATAAAGATTAAAGTAAAGCAAAGAAGCCCCAAATATTGTATCAAATATGTTTCAATACGGGCCGTTCCTTCCGCCGAAGAAAGTAGTTCCCTTTATCCTTACAGACAGAGCCATAAAACTGTTGCAACACTTGTCAGATGATCTGAATGTGGTTTGGTTCCAGTCAGTCTGTAACGCATTTCACAGCCCATCTTGCTGTGTTCTGTTAGTGTCTAGCTAATTACGGTTTGTTTAGTTGTTCTGTTATCACAGCTGCCAGCTGGAAAGCTCACTTAGGGCCAACAACAGGTTTGGTATGTGATGTAGGTTTGCTGTCAGACTTCAAAATCTCTTACAGAAGAAATGTAAAGTATTCATTTTCTGGTTTTGTATGTGGAAAGTGGAACTTCTGGTTGGCTGCAGCACAAAGGAAGTCCTACTTAGCAACAGATGCTTAGCAGAAAGACAGTAATTGTGAAAATGATCACAAATAAGAGCATTTAGAGCCCTTCTCACCCAATCAGACTGTGTGGTGGTTTGGTAATGCGGGTTCCTAACCTTGCTTTCACACTGGCAGCGACTTTTCGCCTCTTGTCGCCCAAATCGCTGACCACTGTGTGTGTTTCTGAACTCCACCTAACCGTTGGTTGCCATGGTTTCACTGATACAAAGCACAAATCAGATGCATTCCTGCTAAAATTAAAAATCGAGAGAAATCGCTTGTGTGCTTCTTTTTATTTAATCCCTGTGTCTGTGCAGCCAGTATGTGAGGAAAACAGTCGCCATGTCGCTTCATTTCTTATTTGCATAAAGTTAAACTCTGCTCAACTTTGTTGCGTTGCTGACTCCGCCCTTTTTCCGCATTCACGCTGCCTCCTGTGGTTGTAAATCGCCAGCTCTCATTAAAAATAAATGACCTCCGGCCGCCTTGTCACATCGCGTTGATGCCAGTGTGAACGCAGTGTAAGGGTATGATGAAACGTTCACGCAACTTATTTGCTTGAAACCTACATGAAACTAAATTGCACTTGAGTTGCATAATGAAAGGCACCGTGCAACTCATTTAAAACTCAGAAACAGTTGCAAGCATGAGTGAGATATCAGCGTAGGCTATTACCTTAATGGCTATCTAATCATTCATTTTCTACATACAAAGAAGTTATAAAAAACGTAAATATTAAGCAAAGAACACTCAACAGATAAAAAAGAGAGAGATAAAAGGGATAAGGGAAAAAGAACGGGAATAACCACTGAAAAAATTATACGATGATGATAAAAATGTTGCAAATATGTAAATACCGTGTCATGGATGACTTAGTAGCGAGAACAATACCGTGTATGAAAAACTACAAACTGCTAATTTGGTTAACTAGTGGAGAAACCAAATGCGTCAAGTTGCACAGAAATTATGTTGCAGACAACTCAGAACTTGCAACTAGTTGCATGAAAGCAAGAGAAAGTCAGTGTAAGCGCATTTAAACTTTGACCAGCACTGTATCTGATGGACGGCTGTGGAATTACTCAGCACTGATTTAGCTCTGCATGGGAGATGTGTACAGCAGATCACGCCGACAATTAGCATTAAGTCTCTCGCTTCCGTTTTCAGCCCACAATCGCAATGTTACATGGTTCAAGTGAGCTCAACACGGGTTACATACCACAAACCGGGACAGAATGCCCACGCATCCCGGGTCAAACGCTCGGAGAAGACGGGGCAGACGGAATATACATGTTGAATCCGCTCTGTGTTGATGCTAGTGTCATGTAGCGACTGATGCTGAATGGCGCCTTTTAAAGGCCGAGTCATCTCATTAGGCTCCTTTTGTTTTGCTAACTTCGCATAAGTAGAGGGTTTTGGAAGGGGACGGGGAGCGGAGGGGGCCTTTTGGAATGCACTGTCTATGGGATCCCCCCCACCTTTGTCTCCTGACCCAAGCTGACAATGACGCCTGCTGCTAATTAGCATCTCATCTCCAATTTAAATGGGTGGCGGAGAAGAATGACGCCTCTCACGCACACACACACACACACACACACATAGACGTTAGGATCGCGAAACAGAATGCATGAATGAGAAAGAAGAAAAGGAGTGAAGGGGAGGGGAGGCTTCGGCCTGACAGGGAAGATGACCTAGCATGGACACAATGAGGGTCTGCGCTCTCTGCTAGTGAGTCGCTAAGTCTGATGTTGGCTTTCTTGTGCTACTCAGCATCTAACATTGCTGTGGTTCTGCTACGTTTTAAATGTAATTACATTATTAATTTGTTATGTAACTCACTACATGTGCATTCAATTTACATTTCGCATCAACAGGTTTGAATTATGAGTGGGTAATACGGCGAATACAGCAATGTTATGCTGGTACCAAGCTACGCTGCTGTGCCTTGACTTAACCAGGCTAGTTTAAATACTAGTAATAGCACTTTTAGCCTGAAGCTTAACATTCAGGGAACATTTTTTACTCTGTGTTTGTTATTGGTTGATCTTTTTCACTATAGAAAGCACTCATGACCAGTAATATGTGAGAAATCTGGTGGTCCTTTATCCATTTTCTCATGTTTTCTTTGTTTTCAGGTTTTTTATCTCATACACATGAAATTTCTGACCAATTTTGTGACTTCAAACATGCCTGCATTAGTCAGATACTGCTTCTCTTTACTCCTCCAAGCTGGGCTGTGCCAAAGAATCCTACTTTATAAAGCCTCTGAGTTTATTTTACAGTAGACATAAATGCAGAGCCTATATAAAAATTTGATTATGACATTTTGGGAATCGATCCAAGAAAGAATCGTGATATGTATACAAACCAATTGTTTCTCATATACCAACAACTTATGCTCTCTTTTTAATGAAGCATGCATTTGGCTAGTGCTCTTTAAGCACTGACTACATCCACAATGTGCTCCAAAAAGCGTATTGTGAAGTAAATTATCATGATTAACAATAACACATTGTCATATTTCCCACTCTTAGTTGGAATCTGCACTAATTTTATGCAAATGTTCGGATGTCAGTGACAAAAAACATGGTGAAAAATATTATACACAGTAAATTTTCATCTAAATCAAATCATAATATCACCTCTACTTACAAACACCAATGTATTAATCAAAATGCTAGAATCTGTTTATTTATCATAATTTAAGGCACAGTCGGCATTAAATTAGCATTTGCACAGTGAAAGCGACTTGATTTGTTGCTCTCACCTGAGGCAGACAACAGCTATGACCACCATAGCGATGATGACCACGAAGCCAGCCAAGGCCGAGCCGATGATGAGGGGCAGCTGGTCCTGCACTGACCGCTCTGGATCATCTGTAATAGCGCAGTTCACTTGTCAGTCTGCTAATAGCTCAGTATTCTACTAAAGAATCAAATCTTCACAGATTTCCCCAAAATGTAGTCGATAAACTGAAATATGTTTGGTATCTGAAGTTGGCTTCTTTAGTTTTGGCTACAAGGCTAGTAGCTAACATGTAATGCAAACTTATACACCAATTATTAGCATTAAATAATCACTGACTTGGCCCAAACTGTGTGAGTGGTCAAGTAATTTCAATTAGACTTACTTATGCACTTTGTGACACTGTATGTTATACTGTTCTCTATAAAAATGGACCGAATTCAGGCTTCAGGATGGCTGCTACTAAGAACCAAACCTCAAACACCAAACTTGACTGAACATTTGGGTACATCTGATTTTTTGCCAAACTACTGCTTTAATGAAAGGTAGGTGTACCATGCAGGCTGGTGCTGAAGTCCACTGGGTTACTGTAAGTGCCGTAGCCGGCCACTGTGCGGGCTCGGACCTGGACCGTGTACACTTTACCCGCCTTCAAACCCTCCACCCTGGCTGAGCTGGACTGAGCGGTGACCGTGTGAGAGAAGGACTCTCCCTGTAACACAAACACAGTCGAAGCAGATTAGATATGTTCTTTTTCAAAATAAGCAAATGCCTAGAGTGGCGATGAAACGATCTAATTCAAACTAATGGGCCAAACCATCCGTGTGAAAACACTCTGGCGAAAAAAGGGTTTGGACTAAAGACCATGACTCCGAGCGAAACCCTCCAGCGGAATTATCCGCCACTTTCAGCGTTAAGCGTTCACTTGTGACCGAGGGCCATCTGTTCCCCCATTGTCCTGGGCTTGAAGGGAAGCCGGGGCCACTTTGAGCTGAGTCCAGCCTAAACCCATTCTGGCAGACCGCTGTGATGTCACCTGGCCCCGGTTCAAGGCCTCTTCGGCTGGAGTTCAAGTTTTGAATCATGCCGTTTCTTACCCGCTCCTGGTACTTGATCTCATAATCCAGGATCACCCCGTTGGGCCGCTCCGGGGGCAGCCAGGACAGGCTCAGGGTGCTGGCTGTGGCCCGCATCAGGTGCACAGTGGGTACGGCTGACGGGGCTAAGGGGGTCAAGAGAGAAAGGGTTTGATTAAGGTACAATCAGTGTTTCAATTAAAATTAAATTTACACAATTACCCCTAATACAGTCTGTTAAACAAGATCTGTTTGTCTTAAGTTTGCTTGTTCACAGTAGCAGCAGCTATTTTGCAGCTTAACTGTTGTCCATACTTTTGTCCATGTTTACAGATATGTCATACAATGTCAGAATCCAGTCTATTAGAGATTACTTAACAACTCAGTGCTGTTTGAAGGAAGTATGTTATCATTTAGGCATACAGTCAACACAATGCTAATTGGTGCACATAAGCTTCAATTACTTGTGAGCTACATTGGCCTTGTAAATCCTCCAGTGCAAAACTAAAGAAGCACCAAACATGTCTTGAAGGATGGACTGCAGCTGGAACTATGGGGTAAAAATGGTCATTTGGTTCATTAATACCTTAAAATCCGAGGCTTATTACAGACCAAGGCTTATTATTCAGTAACTACAGGGTAGGGCTGAACGATTCAGGGAAAAATATCTAATTGCGATTTTTCTAAACGATACTGCGACTGCGATTTAAATTGCAATTATTTTTGTAAATTGAGGTCCAGGTCAGTTATTTTGGTCTAGAAGACCAGAACATCCACTTTTTCAGTTAGTTGTGGTTGTGATATCACAGCATATAGTTGTTTGGTTGCTTCTGATTGGTCCAGCTCATCTACAGGCAGTTTGCAAGCTCTGGTATTAGGTTGATGTTCCCCACTTAATAAAAAATGGCTATAATTAATATTGCAGCTCTTGCGATTTGAAAAATTGCACTCTTTAAATTGCGATTTTGATATAAAAACAATGCAATGCAAACTGGCTGAGCTATTCTTAGGTTATAAAAGTGTGTAATAAAATAAAGGGGTTAAGTTGTGTTTGGGGCCACCAATCGTTTTATGAATAATTGTCGACATCGGCCATGATATAGATTTTTTTCTTTCAATTTTGTTATCTGAAACAAGAAGTACCTTTTGTGGATAATCATTGGTTGTGTTTGGTCTTTGCGAAGTCTTTTCACGCTGAATCAGTTTTTACAGATTTAACGCACTGTATCCTTCACATCAAGTCCAATGCGCAATGAGGAGACATGAAGATAACGCAGAGGAAGAAGAAATGGATTTGCTGCGTAGTAACGGCAGCACCTTAAAGACGCAAGCGCCTGTTTACAGAGTGGTTCCATTAAAGTGAATGGCCGAGACACATGCAAATCTTTATTACACGAAAATGATGTTGCTGATGAAACTCTGAGCAAACAGAGAGACAGCGATTGCAGCCAAATCTCACCTGCTTGATTGGTGGTGATGTTGACGGTGGCGTAGTGTGGTGCTGAGGGGCTTTTGGCGGAGACTCCGTTGACAGCCTGGATCTCAAAGCTGTAGCGGGTGTGCGCTTGCAGGTTCCTGACGGCCGCCTGCCTCTCGGCCAGGCCCAGTCGCCTCGGCGAGACGTCCACGTTATCGTCACAGCGCACGCAGAAACCGCCGCTGTGCTGGCACTTCTTACACACCACGTTGTAGACCACATCAGCCCGGCCGCCAGAGTCCCGTGGCTCCGCCCACTCCAGAGACACGGAGGTTTCGTTCACGCTGGAGATGACATTTAACGGAGCTGAAGGAACGGCTGTAGAGAGTCAGGGAGAGGGTTACAATCTTAACAACACATTATTACACCATATGATTATATTGCATAACACCACGTTATTACAATATCAACATCAACTGCGCTGACTGTCCACTTTATTGGACACACTGTATGACTGACTTATCTATGCCCCACCCACAAATTCTTTTGTCAAGCTGAGTCACTACATAATGTTGAGTTTCAGGTTTTTATCAAGCCTAACTGCACTCCTTTAGAAATAAAGGTATGAATCTGTCACTGGGACAGTACCCCCCCCCTGTCACCGGGGTGGTACCCTTAAGGGTTCATCTCAGTCCCTTTAGTCAGGGAACATAACTGAACAATAATCCACTGATATTATATTTTCTAAGCTGTACTGACTCCACACACCCCGTCTCGCCTCCAGGCTTTTATTTTATTGTTCTGTTTTAAAATATTCGGTTATGAAAAGGTTCAAATACAAACTTTTCACCTGGAAAAACTTATTTAAGGTACAAAATTGGACTTCAAAACCACTGTTGTACCTTCGAGGGAACATTTACACTGTTTGTACCTTGATGAATGAAAAACATACCTCCACAGAACCTTTATTTCTAACAGTGTATGTTAGCTTATATTGCTAATCGAAACTATGTAGGTTGGCAGAATTCGTCTCCATGCTAACGTCACCTCAATTACAACCTTTCACACACAAAATAAACAGCATTTGAAGTTAACAAGTCACTCTAAATGTAGTTTTGACGTAGTGTTATTTTACTAATCTTCATAAAAACTCATTCATTTGCTACAATTTCACAATAGGTTGAAGGGAATTTTTGCCAATGTTTAGACTCTCAGTGGTTCCCACCCAAGAACGTATGTGTTCACTGCATGGATGGGTCATTCAGCAGACTGTAGCCCAGTGGTCACCAACCCTGGTCCTTCTTGCAGAGTCTAGTTCCAACCACAATCTGCCACACCTGCTCCAGCGAATTCACTTCTTCAGAAGTCCTTGATTGGCTGGATCAGATGCAATAGTGTTGGGTAAGGGGAGGGTGAGGGGCAGCATGTTGGAACTAAACTCTGCAGGAAAGCAGATCTCCAGGAGGAGGGCTGGTGTTAACAATGCTGTAGCTGGCCATTATTGGCCGGTTTCTGACCACAGCACTGCTGTTGACTAGATATTATTTGTGTGGTGGACAAGTCTCAGCACAGCAGTGGTATTGCAAAGGTGGTGGTAGTCCAGCTCGATGTCATTTTCGACCAGCAAGAATCCAGCTAATGACCAACAAAGAGAAGCAAAGTCCAGCTTAGACCGTCTGAAACCAGCTACCAAGAAAAGCTGGTCTGGGTGGCTGGATTTTTCAGCACGTAATACGTTTGTAACTTGGACTCACTGTCCACTTTATAGGCCCACTATGTAGGCGTACAATAACAGACTGCTGTCATGGTCCTTCTACCTAATTCATCGCAGGTCATTTTCTGACCACAGGACCTCTCCTGACTGGGCTATGGTCTTCGTACAAGGCGAGGTGGTTTCTAATACATTGGTTAGTTATGTCATTACAACACATAACACCATATCATTACAATATGCAACATCAGTACCATATAATGTAACATACTTTGTGGTGCTAAGTAGCAGCCAATTATACAACCAGCACATTATAAGCTGTAACTACGCCATTACACGAGCTTTGAACTCCACTTGTACAGAACCTGGTGCGACATTCATTGGATAAAAGCATCCAGTCTGTATCAATCCGAGCCTCAAATCGAAATTCCGCTTTAGGTCTCAATGGTAGATTTTTCAGCCCTCCTGATGTGGCACACAAATCCTTGCAGTATACTTTAAAGCAGACACGCTCTCCACAAACAGAGCGAGCGGTGTATGAATGCTCAGACTGCCAAGTGCTAAACTGCTCAGGATCAAATCTAATCCCCCGAAGGGGCGGATAAAAAGTGGGTGTTTATTCCGACTCATTTCGGTGGCCCTCATTGATTCAATTAGCTAATCACCCGCGCATATTCGCTCCAAAAGCGCCTGATTGGGCGTTCGCGCGGGAGCACAGGATACGGCCCTCGTTTGTCGGGTCGGATTTCAGACCAATGAATCTCGCTCACTGAGTCATAATGCAAAGTAATTAAAAGCAGAGGCAGCAGTTAGAAAGAACAAAACAAGCCCCTGGTGAATTCAAAGCTTTGGGCTTGATTACTGAAAAGAAAATAAATCTTGTTCCCTGCTGATGATATTAAGCACACGGCACTCTCTGCAAAATACATTCAGAACATGCTGGCTTTGAGGGGGAACACTGTAATTAATCTAGATCATATTTACACAGGTTATTGCATATGTGCGCGTGAGTTCATGCGAACGGTATGGCGAAAAAAACAAATGTACCCAATCTACACCATTCCCAATTGTAATGTTGAAGAATGTTTGGTGACTGAAGTTTGCTTCTTTAGGCTTCCATTACTTGTTAGCGACATTAGCTTCGTAGCACTAGTGCAGGGGTGTCAAACTCCACCACTGAAGGGGCCATTTATAAAAAATCTCAGCCAATCTGTGGGCCAGCTGAGTTTTTATTTCATTATTACTTCACATTTTGCCATCACATGAACAGGCCATTGTTTATTCAAAATATGCCAGAACTGCAACATCAAAACTGGCACTGAATACTTATTCAAAAATAATTCTAAATAAAAACAAATTGTTTTAGGTTTTAGCATATTTGCTTGAACTAGACAGCGGGCATTTTTTCTTTTTGAGTAACTGCTGACCCATAAGTTGTTGTTGGGGGTCAGAACGCACACTATGTTGCAGTGCATGCTGGGGACTGTAGTGCATCTCAGTGTGAAACGAGTTAATAATAATAGAGAATTAAAATAATTTCACATGCCGAATACGACTGTATCGCGGCCCTGACTTGGCCTGCGGGCCTTGTGTTTGACACATGGGCACTAGCGCTAGTGTTGTGTTAAATGGTAAACTGCATGGCTAAGTCGTCACACACTTGCCTCAAACTAGTGATGTGCATGAGTATTTGAGTACTTAACATTTTAAGAAGTCAGTATTTAAAGACAGAAATCAGTAATCGGGTATTTTTTCATCACGGAGAGAGAGAAAATATACAAGCTAACAATTCAGCTATTTCCTGGTTTGACAGGACTGTAAAATGGGACAGTACTGTTATATTTGCATGTATTATATTCAAATATATTCAAATATGTATTCCTATCACATTTTGCTACTATGAAACACTCAGCGTGAGCACATAAGGATACACTGTTAAGGACGTTATTGAGAAAGCAGAGACAGTGCAGCTCTTGCATGGCTTTATTTTTGCTAGCTAACATAGTTAGCAAGGACAATTAAGACAGTTTGCTAAGGACTATGCTAACCTACTCTAGCTGATGCTAGCTAGGTCTAGAATCAGTGAATATGTATTTCTAGGCTAACAATTCAGTGATTTTCTGTTTTAACAGGACTGTAAAACGGGACAGCTATCATATTTACACTCAGTGCATAAAGACGCATTGTGAAGCACATTATTGAGAAAGCAGCGATAGTGCAGCTCTTGTGTGGCTTTTTCGCTGACTAGGCTAACTAACTTACTCTAGCTGATGCTGGCTAAGTCTAGAAACAGTGAGGATATATTTCTAGGCTAATAATTTTTTTTGTTTTAACAAGACTGTAAAATGTGACAGTACTGTGAAATTCACATATATGTACGTATATTACGCTACACTGTCCTACTATGGAACAGTGTCTTAGTGTGAGCGCATGAGGACAATTTGCTAAGGACTATGCTAACTAACTTACTCTAGCTGATGTTAGGAAGGTCCAGAAACAGTCAAAAGATATTTCCCTGACAAAATACGTTGGCACATCTTTCACTGAGGAGAAAAGACCTCATGTAGAAGATGACGGGTTTATATCAGCATCCAATGTTGTACTGGTAAGCTGAAGAGTTGGCGCATTAGCTCATCTGAAGGGGCAGCCTCTGTTACTCATTCAGCGCAATCTGCTGATTTCCCTCAGCTATTTTTGAATAATAAAACACGTCGCAAAATTTGCCATCTAAAAAGCAAGACCATAAAACCCTTAGCGGTTTTGTGCGTTTTACTTGCTCACAGAAACTTGAATATCAAAATTAGCCAGGATGCACATCCGTACTTTGAACAGTGTTGAGCGGGTAAGTAGTCTTAAATGGACTTTTTTACCTGGTTTCTGACAAAAAATCTATAAAAATGGACAAAAGTACATACAGATTTGAATGTTTTTAGCTATGTAACGTACCATTGTGCATTTTTATACACAAAACATATTTAGTCTGATTGAAAACATAAAATTCTAGTGAGTTGAACTACATAGTTGTACCTAATCTAATTTAGGCAGGTTGGAAAAAATGATGCCATATTTACCACCAGGCTAATGTTAGCGTGATTACACAACAACAACAACAAAAATAAATACAATTTTGAAGCTAATTACTCGCTGTAAATGTAACTATTTTGACAAAAACTGATTTGTGGATCTTTACTCACACACACACACACACACATCTTCTAAGCCGCTTATCGTTCTGGGTCGTGGGTGGATCTTTACTAACATTCTCTAAACATTCTGTGGCCCATCTGTTGCTGCACGGTTTATCAGACCCCCTTGACCCCTTTATCATTGGTCAGTTTCTGACCACTGGACTGCTGACCAGATGTTATTTGGATGGTGGATCTCTCTTAGCACAGCAGTGACACTGACACAGCAGTGTTTCTGATACTGTATGATACAACATTATTGATAAAAATGTACAAAAGTAATGAGAAATTTCGCTTTTCGCTATGTGACATAATAGTGTCCATTATTCCTGCATTTGGGGTGAGGAGAAATTTGTACGTCTGATATCTGAAATTTGATTTTTTTTTTTTGCAAAACTGCTTTAAAATCCATGTCAAATCCTGTGATCGGACATGCACACATACACAAAACACACACACACTCACATGGGCATCCCTCAGGCTAAGTGCTTGTGATGAACCTTCCTCTACATGCACTTCGGGGACCTTCTTTGATAACGGCAATGAAGTTGACCTTTATCTCTTCTTTATTCCGTGACATCGAGCAAATTGAACATATTAAACGAGACAGAAATACACGAAAGGCCTTGAACACCTGCATGGCTCTACAAAGCGTTTTAATAAAGTGACAAGACCAGTCAAAAGTTTGGACACACCTGCTTGGAAAATGCTTACATAAGACAAATAGTACAAGGTGGCACGTTAACACTTTTTCTTTTCCAATACTGATATTAAAACCTGCTGATACTGATACCTGATCTGATATTTCTTCTTAAAATATACAGAATTTGTTACTAGCGTGGATCAGATTCATTCTGTTTTTTCTCTTTATTTTTTTTTTATTGTTTTTTACTCTTAAGCACTTTGTCTTTATTTTTCTATGTTATTTTTGCTTTTATTTATGTAAAGCACACTGAATTGCCTTTATGAAATGCGCTATATAAATAAACTGACCTTGCCTTCTGATATTCTATCCAGCATTTTCTGCTGACATTGGCTCAATAACTGATACTCAGTACCTGGTATCAGATCACTGCCATCTCGAATGGTGAAGTTCAGGCCTTTGTATGAATTTTATGCCAAAATGAACTTTTTTTTTTTTAATTTTCTAAGTGAAACTAAGTTAACATATCCTCTACAGAGAACACACTTAAATATGTCATTTTATAGTGCACAAATTGTATTTATTTTGTATTTATTTTTTAACATTTTGGAGTTTAAAAAAACTATATATGTATAAGCTTTTGCACAGGCCACACTTACATTTTCCCCAATATGTGAAATTCAACAAATAAACTGCAATTGTGGCTTAAAATGTGCAGAAGTGTTTTCTATATCAAGGATGTGTTCTTATTTGCATTTTTGCAGCGTGAATAGAGACATGGAGGCACTTACTGGTGCAGGCAGAGTCCGGGGAGTCGCTGTCTGCGCGGTAGTAGCCTCTCTGGCATGGACACACGTTAGCTGCCCTGGAAGTGGCGAGGCTGTGAGGAGGGCACGGCATGCAGTAGCCCTCGCCCTGCTTGGACTTGAAGGACCCTGGCGTACAGGCTGGAAAGGAGGTACAAGAAAAAGCTTGATCATGTCATCTTAAGAGCAACAGTTCATCAAAAAACACTCTATGTTTCATGTAAATAGAACATAACTTTTCCCTTAAACCAGATATCAAGACATGTTTGGTGTCTGAAATTTGGTTCTATAGTTTAGCACTGGGGCTTTAAGGATAATCTAGCTAATAATCAAAACTTAGTCACAAATTAGCATTGTGCCTAAATCATTATGCACTTGCATCAAACCGTCTTTTTGTTAAATAAACTTGTTTATGTGGTTCCTGACACTGTATGACATACTATTACCTATAAAAATGGACAAATGTACAAGAAATATTCAGGTTCCAGGACGGCTACAATTGTTTTTAGCGAGGTGACATACTATCGTCAATTTTCTGTCCATATATTCCTTTCATTCCGATAACTGAGGCACAATTCTAGATTTTGCAAATCATGCTAATGAATCCAAAGAGAACGGTAACAAAAAATATCACAGTCAAAAACAGCATCTCACAAATGGACTACGGTCTCTAACTGCATGCTAGCAAAGTAGAGCTACAGTTAATAAAGTGCTGGTTAAGTGTATATCAGGCTTGCTGGGCTAGCTTATTGTCGCCAATAAGCATTGTACAAACTGTGTATCTAAAAAGCATGAATGGGAAAGCTCACAACACTCTACATGGCGTCTGTTAGGGAAAGTCCCAGCCGTCAACAAAAAAAGATTTTTTGTGCGTTATTGAGCCAAACACTACAAACGGTTTATGTGATTTTTCTTAGATTTTATCACTGATTTTAAATATGTTTCTGAAACAGTAATTTGACCTTTGAGTATTTCGGTCACTCCCCATTCAAAGAGAGAGAAGTCTGGAAATAACTGCACAGCAGCGCTGCAAAGATGGCCGCCAAGTGAACAGACTTCCCTGAAAGACTTTGATCTAAATCATCAGACACTCAAACCATTTTGAGCTGTTCATCTTAAACAGACTTGCTTTTGTGGTTTCTGGGACTGTATGACACACGGTTATCTCTAAAAATGGACAAACGTACAGAGAAGATTCAGGTTTCAAGATGCTACACTGTTTTAAAGCTAGGTGACATACTTTCGTTTTTTGTTGTGCTTAAGGTTCATCTTAAATAGACTTGCTTATGTGGTTTGTGGCACTGTATGATATGCTTTTATCTACCAAAATAGACAAAAGTACAGACAAAATTCAGGTTTCAAGATGCTACTACTCATTTTTTAGCTGGGTGACGTATTATTACACTTTTTTTGGAAAAGAATCAAAGGCACATTTCTAGAATTTGCTAATGATGCTAATGAATCCAAATAGAATTTAAACAAATTGTCACAGAAGTAAAAACAGCATCTGACGCATGGAGTCTCTAACAGTATGCTAGCGAAATAGAGCTACAAGCTAATGAAGTGTAGGTGTATAAAAGGCTAGCTGAGAAAAATGCTAATAGCCACCAATTAGCACTGTGAAAACTGCATGTCTAAATCAACAGTCCCCTCAAACCACGCTACGTAATCTTAAATAGACTTGCTTATGGGCTTTCTGACACTGTGTGATATCTATATGATCTGTTTTTTAATGAAATTGAGAAACATACAGACAAAATTTAGGTTTAAGATGCATTTTTGGGGGAAAAAAAACAAAGGCACATTTCTAGATTCTGTAAATGATGCTATTGAATCCAAAAAGAATTGTCACAAAAAAAATTACCACAGAAATCAAAAACCTCATGCGTTAGCTGCACTAGCAAGGTGGAGCTACAAGCTAGTAGTTAGGTGTATGACACGCTAGCTGGGGAAAATGGCTAAACTGCGCATGCTGTTGTGTTATTTCTCCTTTCAATTCGCACGGTGGACGGCGGCGGTTCCCCACACCCTTCCTCCTCCCTGCCTAAATCATATATATGTGGAAATAGCTGAAGAGCTGGAATGGCCACTGCTGGCATTACTGCTGTCCATATTGCAGTAGCTGAATTACACCTCAGGTACAGACCAGGCAGCTTCAGTATTCCTCGCATGATATATATTACTTCCCTTCCGAAAGAGAGGGTGTGAGGATAATAAGAAAGTGGAAAATCCGAGCGAGTGGCCCCTTAACACGCGTGCCGTTCCGCATTCAGATGGAGAGGGGGTGAACGAGACCGGAGAGAGAGAGAGACAGAGAGACACAGAGAGAGAGAGAGGGGGAGAGAGAGAGAGAGATAAACGCTAACAGGCCCGCCTGCGTCCCTGGTGTGTGTGTATGTGTGTGTGTTTGTGCTGTCCGTCAGCTTGCGGATTACAGCCTGAGAGGTGATAAAGGAAATTAGACTCTCCCCCCCCAAACTCCTCGTCCCATGGCCAAGTGGCGGCCCCCGCAGGGAGTCGTTTATCAGTTCTTTAAGGCGCGCTCTTAACCTTGAGCGGCCATATGGAAACAAATGAAGCTCCAGCTCTACGGCAGCAGCAGCGCTCTCTGAGGAAACTTCCTTTACATCCACAGGTTGGGTCTTTAATCGGCAGAGGCTAAAGTGCCAATCAACATTTTGGACACGCCTACACAATTTTCTCATTTATAATAATCATTTATATATATAAATAAATATATATATATTTGGACAATGAGTGTGGAAACAGGGAGGTGGTTTTAATGGCTGATCCAATCAGAAATACTGGTCTTCTACCAAATAGTGTTATTTAGACCCACCCCAGCAACAAAACACCTGATTGGCTCATATGCATTTATGAACCACATTCCTCTAATTAAATGAGGCATCGGTCCCCAGTTTTCAAGATATCGACACCGTTCCAACTCCGGAATGTTTAGTCTGATCGGGAATGGTGTGCTTGTATACAGCTTTTTGATCTGACGTACAGTTTCCGTAAAATCTTCGTTAAAATTACGTTTTTTTCCCATAGGAATGAATGGAGTGAAAAATTCCACGTCCATCTACTGCACTTTTGCTCGACCAAAACACTCAGTTTTGCATATACTATCTCAGGGCAGCACCCGAGCTCGAGTTCAATGTTGTTCTCACCCGCACTCATCTGTTTGTCTTTTTTTTTCATCCCTTGTTTCTCCCATAGACTCCCATTGATCTGCCCCCCACACAAGCCTAATTATTTCCTTTGCCCAACAGCCAAACTGCATGTACTCACTCAGGGCAGGTCCCCAAGATCTAATCCACAGCCATACTGACCTGCACTCCTCTCTGTGTCGTTTTTTCTTTCCTCGTTTCTCCCATAGACTCCCATTCATTTTCACTCCCAACAAAGCCCTAATCTTTCTTATTCCCCACAGCCACCAAAGTACATGTACTCACTCAGGGCAGGTCCCCAAACTCTAATCCACAGCCATACTGACCCGCACTCCTCTATGTGTCATTTTTTCTTCCCTCGTTTCTCCCATAGACACCCATTCATTTTAGCGACAACTAGCAACAACTTAGCAAACACCTAGCATTAGGTTTATGCTGTGCAATCACTGCCTTTTCTTCAGGAAATGTACTATTCTAGTTTATATTAAAAATTGTTTTGCATAAGCACCAAACCCTACTAATTATATTTGTCTCAATATTATATTTCAGCAACATTCAGTACTGTGCCTTTCCATTTATTTCATTTCCAATCAAAGTGGCAAAGAAGTAGTTTTTCACTTTTCCGCAACAGGAAAAAAACGGAAAACATTTATTTATAACAGATGCCTCAACAACTAAATGTGATACATTTTAAGTGTCCAGTTATGCCTTTATTACAGCTTCCATTCTTTTCTAAAAATGGGAACATTTTTTCACATCTCCAAAGTTCAGTCTTAGAAGTTGGTTGCATTACCTGCTTTTCACGAATTCAATTAATCCCAATTACTACTTAGACTTATCAGTCCTTAAAACCTTCCCTCACATTTTCTAGTGTTCGGTGTTCTGGTGCAAATGTTCATTTTTTTGTTTATTTCCTTTTTTCAGTAAAAGTAACTCACTGGTTTTAACATTAGGAATTAAAGCAGAAGCAGGGTGCACAGAAGTAAAGAGTGGCCAAATTAAAAGAGGAACTGCACCAATTTTTTATACTTTCTGCATAATTCAATTGTTGAGATGTAACAGAGTTATTCAGAGTAGTTCGATGTAAAATGGTTCATTATAGAGAAACTTACAGACTCAGATTTCATTACAGTGGTAGTGATGGGAACCAGGAGACGCCATGACTACAACACAAATATAGCCATTTTATTTACTATCCAAAATGATCAGTGAACCTACACGTGTCTTCTGAGATTAAATTTGTCATACTGATTATGGTAAAATAGTCATAAATCTGAAAAAAATAGTGTTTTTGGGGGTCTATTTTGCCTCAGAGCACCCTGCACGTATCTCTCCACCATGAATGGATTATTAAAAATCCTTTTTATAGGCAATTTTTCTATCAATACTACTTTCAAACAATGTATCAAGCCTAACTATCATCATCATCATAACAATTTCGTATAACTGAAGTAGCTTTTACAGGCTTTTAACTCCTCAGACGTCTGCTTCCATTCACCACCACTGTGAACAATTCTGACTCTGTAAGTTTCTCTAGAACAGAGCATTTCACACCAAACCACTCTGAATGACTCTGTTTACATCTCAGCCATCTAATTATGTAGAAATGTTGGAAAATCAGTCAAATTCCCCTTTAAATAGTGATAGATTTGATATTAAACAAAGTGTTGTGTCTTTTTCTGTTTCCTGCTTTTTTCCTGACACTGAAAAAGGAATAACTTGTGCTTAACGGCCATTCTGATTGTAGCATAAACAAACGAAAGGGTGGTCCCTGACTTCTGCGCAGTACTGTATTGCAAGCCTTTCAGCATAAGCCTTTAGACAAAGACGTATTTTAGACTCAGAGACAAATGCATTCACTCAGGTGTGCCCAAACTTTTGACTGCAACTTATCTTTTTTGTCACACATTCCTCCGTCCCCTCCCTCCTCGACCCTCTCTTCGTCTTCCTTTGTTTGTTTGTCCCTCTGCGTGCCCCATCTATCTGTGGATCTCTCTCTCTCTCTGTCTCTCCCTCCCTCTCTCTCTCTCTCTCCCCCTCCTCTTTTCTGCAGCACCATCCGTCTCCGCTCTATCGCTCTGTTAGGACCCTATCAGATCTGTCAGGAGCAGCTCTCGGCCTGCTAGCTTTGTTCTCTGATGCTAACCGCAGCCCTCCGCCCATTTCTGATCTGCTCCTTCTTCTCTCTCCTTCTTCATCTTCAGAAAAAAATAAATAAATCAGCTCCAGCTCGGAGCAGACGGCTTGGACGGATCCCTCACATTCTTCCCAACATAAAGAGCTTCTAGAAATCCTCCTGTTCTTCTTATTCACAGCGAAGCGCTAATTCGTACCGAAACCCTCTGTCTTGAGTTTCAGGGGGACTCATAACTAACAAAGTCACCATCCAATTAGCTTTCCTCAGGTTTAATCTGTTCAAACCAGGAGGAAGCTGATAATAAGAGAGAAGAGAGCGTTAAAGGCCTCTTTCTGACCTCGGGAATTAACAACTCAGTGTAAAAAACGTTCAAAAGGTCAAAAGTTTGCCTTCTTGTGACATTTTAATTTTCTCAAGCAACTTTTCAATTAAGATACCTGCAAATTAGCAGCGGGCAGTGTGGTCAAAAACGTATAGCACGGTATAACTGAGCCCCTCCTATGAAAAACCATTCCACTTTTTTTGGATCGTCAGGTATTTTGTTTTCTATTTATAATTATATTATGCTTTATTTACGTTTTAGTGACCATTTCGTTTAAAATACAGAGCACTAAACAGTACCGTGCCATGACTTTTGCAGCAAATGTCACATATACTTTCATTCATTTTTCATTTCATTATTAGTATGTTTAATATGCGGCACTACAGGTTCTATTTTGCCTGTTTCCAACTGATTAAACCTCAGAAAAATTAAGAATTGTGACGCATATTGTGTATCATGAAAAAGTCTTGAAGTATCGTGATGCAATATTTTTACCGTATCGCCCACCTGTTATGATATATCGTCACTGCCCAAAGAAAATCATGTGTCTCCATTTTTTCCCAATCATTTAAGCACGACGTTTGTCCTTCACTTTGTGTGAAAATGTGTGAGGAATGTACGAGGAATATTTCAGTCCAGACTGCTTTTTGCTGGGCAGCCAATCAGAACAGAGCTCATTTACATATATCAGTCTTAAAGGCACAGTAACAAAAACAGCCTGTTTAAGTCTGAGAGATAAAGAGAGGTCATGTAAAACTGAATGATGACTGTTTTTGGTGTATAAAGTCACACAGATGTTATAAGTGGACCTCAAAGGGAAAAACTGTGAGAGGATTGTAGCATATGGGCCCTTTAATTATACGCTCCATTATTCACAGTTGTCTTAGCAAGTTTTAAGTGGGGAAATTAAACCTAATAATGCAGAGCTCGTGAACTGGCATTCTGGCACAATACATTCAGTGCTCAGTCCTCAGGCAGGACAAAATGATGGACTGGCCTTCTTGGCAAAGGCCTGGAGCTTAATTTAAAGAAAAAAGTTGCATTTAAAGGGCCCATATCATGGAAAACGGCATAAAAGAGTTTGACGTAGTCTTTAAAGTTTCAAAACATACCATTCACTTCTCAGTTCACACAGCCCATATATGTGGGTGGAGTTAAACTGCTGTGGGCTGAATGAGTGGACCTGCGTAAATGACTTTGCTCTTGTGACATCACAAAACTAATGAATTTGAAATATGATGTTGCAGCTTAGTATTCATAAGATAAGATAATCCCCTTCGTGGGACTAATAAAGGATTATCTTATCTTATGAAAACTAAGCTGCAACATCATAATTCAAATTCATTAGTTTTGTGATGTCACAACAGCAAAATCATTTACACACTTATTCAGCCTACAGCAGTTTAGCTCCACATTGAAGTTATAAGGTGTGTTTCAGCCTGAACTGCTTTTTGAATGAGGCGTAATTGCGCTGTGCAGCCAATCAGAACAGAGCTCGTTTACGTATATCAGTTCTAAAGTCACAGTAACAAAAAGAGCTTAATTTTAAGGGATAAAGAGAAATTGAAAAATGGACAGATAAAAGTGAATTATGACTGTCTTCGGTATGTAAAAACCACAGATAGATCATAAATGCACTAAACTAGTGTTGAAGAAACTTACTGTCACTCTTGTGCCGAAACATTGTATCTCAATTTTTGGCATTTTTTACTTTCTTGCAGTTTGAAAACTCAAATTACCCTAAATTTCATGATGTACAGATCAACAGAAATAGTCCAAAACTACTTGGGAAAAAATATTTTTACATTAACTTCCATTACAAGTTAAGAATGTTTTTTCCTTTCCTGTAAATCCACCAGTTTGGAGACACGTGGTTTCGTTCTGACAGCAATGACTTTGAAACATTTGGCCTAACAGTGGTTTAATACCGTGCTGACACCACAACAAAGGACAAAACGCCAGGAGTTCGGCATTATTCCCAAGGCAGCCCCGTCACAAAGACAGCTTTCTCACTCGAATTAAAAAACTTTTTGAGAAGCTAGGTGTCTCCAAACTTTTGCCGGGCGGCGTACGCCCTTGGCATCTCCTCTTTTCAATTTGTGACATCTGCCAGAAAAGCGCTCAAAAGGCTTCGGTGGAAAAGCCGCTTAAGTCGGATAATACCCCGCCGCTTACCCTGACATTGGGTGTCTTTCTTGGCCGGCTCGAAGCCCGGCATGCAGGTGCAGGATCCCACGGGAACCATCCACTCGCCGTCTCCGTTGCAGTAGAGCTTGAGGGGGACGGACACCTCCACGGCGTTGGGGACGCAGGCTCCCGCCGCGATGACCAGCGAAGTGGCCTCGGCGCCCGTGGCCGTCTCGGGGAACACGGCGAAGCTGGCGATGGTGGTGGAGCACTTCTTGAAGAAGACCCGGGCAGATATGAGGGACATGCAGGCGCCCAGGTCCTGGAAGGCCAGGTAGAAGCCGGCTTTGGAGAGTGGGCCGAAGCTCCGGACTTTGGTGTTCACGATCCCCGACTCCAGCAGGGAGAAACTTTCATCAGGGGCGATGGTGTCCACCTACAGCGGAAGGAGAACATGTTGGCTGAGGGTTAGAGGTTCAAAACGCCTTGTGAAGAAGAAAAGTAGGGCTAAGCAATTTGGGGAGAATAGCTAATTGCGATTATTCTGAATTCTATTGCGACTGCAATTTAAACTGCGATTATTTACTATCAATTAAGTTCCAGGCCTGTTATCAGACCAGAATATCTGCTTTTTCCAGCTTGAGGCTGGAACGCTGGACGTACCATGCCCGACTGCCAGTTAGTTGTGGTTGTGACGTCACAGCACATGGGTGTTTGGTTGATTTTAATTGGTCTATCTCATCAACAGGCAGTTCACAAGTGCCATGCTATTGGCCTAAATCTAAGACAATGTTGTTGATAACGTAGGCTACAATTAAAATTGCAGCTCTTGAGATTTAAATTTGCACTTCTTTTAAATTGTGATTTCAATACAAAAAATGATTAATATTTCAGCCCATATCTATAGGAATACTACAGGGAATTCTATAGGTACAATAGGCCTGTGACAAATTTCTTATAATAACAAAATTACCTGACTGCAATTATTTGAGCTGCATTTATTGTCAACAAGTGTTCAGTTTTCATAATCATATATTTATCTCACACTACAAAAGCTGTACAATAACTGTTATACAGCTGGTCCTACAGTTCTTTCTGTAAGGCTACAGAAATGGGTCTAATCTGAGGCCCTGCTTCAATCCTTTTTAACAAACCATCGTCCACTTTGACTCACAAACTTCTTAAATCAAATAGCCACTCGAAGTGGCCGAAGTGGAGGTGCAGATAGTGAGGACCAGACGCCCTCAGCTAGGTTGGCCTCAGTTAGCTAATCAGCTAGCCATGCAAACTTTGCCATACAAACATAACATACATAAAACTTCTGAATAACTGTTTTGTCTAGATATAAAGTCGGTGTAGTGCCTTTTTTTCTTTACGTTGTTTTTAGACATGTAGCCTTTAGCATGCCCAGCAAATGCTGTTTACCGCTATGGCTAATCCACAGCTTTGGTCGCTGTTATTTTCAGGTTTGAAAAGGGAATCATGTCGAGTCGCAATCATTTCTGGGCAAGTTTTGCTGCTGAAATTGACACTTGTGCTCACTCAATCTCTCGCCCTTCACTTGAGCTGAGAAAGTAATGGAGTGGCTCTTAAGATGGCGTCTAGGGAAATGATGAGGCCAAGTGAAAAAGGTCTTGTTAATATCAGTCGCTAATGGACGTAACTCGTAGAAACACATCTCACACCATTTTACCAAAATCTGAAACAGGACAGATTAAGATTATAATGAGGAGAAGCAAAGTTCTCCACTGTGCTGCATCATTTTAGAACAAAAACAAATCCCATCCTCAATCCTGACCAGTCTTTTCCAAATAATACCCTTCTGCACTTCCAATAAGAGAACACAGTCCTGTGATTTGCATAGATCCTATGTTGCTCTGCAGAGTTGGCTATAGCACGGGTGTAGCCATGCTAACAAAACCTCTGTAGCCCAATTTCTGTTACTTTTTGAGTTTCGGCTTCAGTTGTTTTCATATTAGTAGCATTGGGGTATGCTTTTCTGTGAGTTGCTTGTTGTTGGGCAACAATTCCATTATTTTCAGTGATTCTCTGCACTTTCGCTCTGTTGCTTGTTAACTTTTTCCTCATTTCAAAAGCTAAACTGCATTACCATGTTGGCAGGAACTTTCAACTGCTGTTGTTCTGCTGTATTCTGCCTATTGAGCAGGATGTCATGTTTTTAAGGGGTAACAAACCCTGTAGTGGAGAAGTTCTTGGTCGTTGTATCCTCTCTTGACACCCAGCATGAACAGAGATCATGAATCTCGTCTCTCACAGAAACCGCAAAATAGTTAGAAGCAGCTGATTCACTGTTGATCTCCTGCGGCTCAAACTGTTTGAATCAGTCTGATCAGTGGAGCATCGAAAGAAGCATCATGGATAATAAGTCATAATGTTTTATTTTCATCATCATTTAAATTATTTGTTGAGCGTTAGATTTTGATGCTTCACTCTTAGATCTATTTAATCGCTCGTTTTTTCGGCCTTTATTTCTCTTTTGGCAAAAAATCGAAAAACTTTTACCGTTTTCAGCTGAAATGTTTCCTAGGTGGAAATTTCAATGCTTCCAAAAGACAAATTAGGACAACTTTTGGACGTTTCATTTTAAAATGATATTTGGATGGAGATTTAAAATAAAGAATACAGTAAATTCAAATGCACAGGAATTCAACTCACTGACAATAAGGAAGGGAAAGTAAATAATCCTGGCTTTTTGAATACTTTTGAGTACTTTGAAGTTCTAAATAGGAATACAGTACAGTATCATTCCAGAACAAAAACAAATCCCATCCCCAAAGATTTCATAATCATGTCAGAGGGGCTGGAAGGTGGCAGGTAAATAACGTAAAAGCTAGGTTATAAAAATAAACAGTGAACTCTTTGGAGCTACCTTGCATTTTGGTACATGCTTGCCGGCTTTTCCTTTCTTAGCTAGACTAAACAGAAGCAATGATTCAACCAAATTCAACAAACAGCTCACACATTGCTACTAATATGAAAAAGAAACTGAGCCCGAAACCCAAATAGGAGCTGAAATAGGGCTACAGAGTTTTTGTTAGCATGGCTAAACCAATGCTATAGCAAACTCTGCAGAGCAACATTAGATCTACGCAAACTACAGAACTGTGCTCTCTTATTGGAAGTGCAGAAAAGATGTGATTGGTCAGGATCTTTAAAATGGAGGATGGTCCTCGGTCTCCCAAAAACCAGCCCACCAAACGCACTCCATCTGACCTTAACGTAAGGGTTCTCCCTCCACGGCGGGCTGGAGGCCGTGGCCGTGTCTCCGTCCGACTCGTAGTAGAAGAGGTTGAAGGTTTCCTTGCAGGAGCCGGGGATGTTGGGGATGCTGGCACAGTCCCGCACCGAAAACTTGAGCTCCACGTAAACGCGCAGGACGCCCCGGCGCGGGATGAAGTCCGTCCGCAGCCAGTTGTTCTGGTTGGGCTCCAGGACGTTGCACACCTGGTACGTCCGGATGGGGTTCATGGAGTCGTCGTAGCCGCTGACCTCCTCCCACTGCGGGGAAGAACGAGTTCCAGTCAAAAACACTAATCACGTCTCAGCCTCCAGCTTCCCGAAAGCAACTCAGCGTTACGATCATCTTAACTGGAGGAGGGAGAGTGTTCTGAGTGATGCTCGCTCTACCATTTAAGAACCATCTTTGTGCTAAGATGCTTTCAGGAAACCCAGCTCATATCATTTGGGACCAAAAAATATCAATATTATCATTTATAAGCAGAAATGATTCCATCTGCTGATGTAATGTTCTTGAAATCGAAATGTTACCAGTCAAAAGTTTGGACGACGTATGTTTTTCGTAATCTTGAAGGCATTTCAATCTACGAGCAATTAGTATTCATTCAAAACTTGCTGACCCACAATCATTATGTCCTCCTAATTACTATGTGTGCCTCATTAAAAGGTAATTGATGGAATGCCTATCCTCGTTAGTGCATTTAGGCCAATCAGGGATGGCCCTAGTTGGCAGAAGATGGATATTTCTGACGTGTTGTTTCATTCATTTGATGTCGACAAACCATAAAAATAAAGGAACTTCCTTCTGAGGAGGTGTGTCCAGACTTTTGACTGTCTCTTTAGGAAGAGTCGAGCTGAATTAAACTGCCAATAGACCTGAGTGAGCTTGAGGGCACTCTGAAAGTTGTCGATCACCGGATTGCCAATCCAGACTTGGGAGTTATTTCACGTATTAGCCGAGGAAGATAAGGGCTCCGAATGTAGGTCGTTCGGCAATTCGTGATACGCTAATCATCCCTGCTCTATCAAGCATTTCCTTCACTTCATGTAGAACTTCTTTAATCTTCCCTCTTCAATCAGGCACTTCATGTTGTCTCTAACCAATAAGGATTAGACGCCCCCTCCCTCGCATGCTCTAGACCTCTTCATCCTCGAGCCTCAGAAGCCGCAGTTACTGCGAGTGATAATGAAAGCATGCTGTCATTTGCAGAGACGGAAAAAGTATAAAGAAATTATATTTAGTGTTTTTATTGTATTAATTATACTATCTATAGTGAAAGTATGACTGTCAAAATCTTACTTAAGTAAAAGTGGAGGCAACTACTTGAGTGTAAACTTCTACGTTTACACATACGTAATTACATAAACAAGAAAACAACAACGTAATCCAAGAAAATACTCTTATTACTGATCAAATCTGCTTTTAGTTTACACAAGATAAACTCGATTACAATACGTAAGGTACAGTATGTGCCATACAAGCCAACATCCTTGATCTTTGTTGTCAAAGTTTGGCAATAATTCCATTATTTTTAGTGATTATTTGCACTTCGGCTCTGTCGTTTGTAATTTTTTTCCTAATTTCATGAACTACATGGCATTAGCATGCTGGCAGGGACTTTCAGCTGCTGATGTTTTGCTGTGTTTTGCCTATCAAGCAGGATGTCGTGTTTTTAAGTGGTATTAAACCCTGTAGCAGAGAAGTTCTTGGTCGTTTTATCTGCTCGATATTCAGCATGAACAGAGATTATGAATCTATTCTTAACAGAAACCGCAAAATAGATATAAGTGGCTGATTCACTGTTGATCTGCTGCGGCTCAAACTGTTTGAATCAGTCTGATCAGTGGAAGCATCGAAAGAAGCATCATGGATAATAGGTCATAATGTTTTTTATTTCATCATCATTTAAATTATTAAGCGATAGATTTTGATGCTTCACTCTTAGATCTATTTATTCGCTTCTTTTTTTTCAGCTTTTATTTCTTTTTTTGGGCAAAAACCGAAACACTTTTGATGTTTTTCAGCCAAAATGCTTCATAAATTTTGGTGATCCCAAAAGACAAATTAGCACAGCTGTCAGATGTTTCAGTACTATAAAGTTCTAAATAAAAATACAAAAGTACGTTTTTTTTCTCTTGGAAATGTAATTCAACAAAATCAATCTTACTTCAATATTCAATTCAATATTACTAATCTTCCAAAATTAAGTACCATAACTAAGTATTTTCCACTTGTAGTCATTTTATTTCATTTCTTTCTCATCCAAAGTGCTTTAAAACAAGCAGACAAGTTCATGTTCTGTCAAAAGTTTCAATCAATACCATATTTGGGTTAGGAAATAAGAGAGAAAATACTTTATTATGATTATGTTATTATTGTTTGTATACTTTTCTTTGAAAGAAAGAAAAAACACCCTTCTGCTATGTGTTTGTCATTGTCTGAGACTTAAACAAACAGAAAAAGTGAGAAGTGCCTACTCGAACCTGTTATTACTGAACATAAATGCATTTTAATGTAATTATTATGTAATTACTATGTAATTATTATGTAAATATGCAAACTCTTGACTTTTAAAGGTTAGAAGTGTTGTAAGAGCTACAACTTGTACCCAAGGCTTGGACCAGACCTTGCGCTGCCTGAAGCCATTCCTCTGTCAGCTGTTTGGGTAAATACGATGCGTTTTCCAAGGTGACATTTGGGTCGAAGAACTTCGCACGACACAATTAAGAAGCTGCGCGGCGCGAGGGGAAGCATGTGTTTATCTCGGGTTGCGCCGGAGCACATTACTTATGATGATGTATGGCTTTCGAGATGCCAGACATCGAGCACCAGCCGGCAGAGAGGAGCGGGCCTGCTTAAGATTGTTGCCATGGCAACCCCATCGTTTCCATTGACTGACTCCGCTTGTACATTCCAAAGACGAATCGTTACTACAGGAGCAGAGCCGCCGCTGCTGCTGCTGCTGAGGGTGTGGGAAGGGTGGTCTGTCAAGCTTAAGGTCAAAATCTGCGGTGGTTAATTTCCTCGCCCGTCATTCGGGTAAAATAAAGTGGATATGGAAGGGAGAAAAGAAACGTTTTCAGAAATGGAAGCCGCCTCAGGGAGAAAACCATTCATCAGAACGGGCTATTTTCATTTGTCTCGTTTTTTTTTGGAGGCAGGTATTAGCGCAAATGTGGGTGTGGACACGTACGGGACAGACACACACAGACACACAAGCCTACTCACCCCGCTTTCTGGATAGGTGGTCCAGGCCAGCTCGGTTGTGGCCCACTTGCTGTCCATAAGTGTCTCTGCAAAGCAAAGATAATCAGTGAAGCCTCGAAACGACATTTTCACAGCCAAATATAATGAAACATCATTGTTTTTAAGCCAAACCCATCCAAAACCTGAGCTCAGTGCTAATTAGCATGCGCCACATTGTTGGCTGGACGCTAATCACTGTTTTCGTGCTGGCTCGTAGATAAAGTAGCCTTCACAGACCTGTGTTGTCAGTCTGTAGTCATTGTCCCGACCATATTAGCAACTCCAGGTCTAAGCTGGATATCTCTATAGTCTTTAGGATAGTCCAGTATCCTAAAATATGCAAATGAGAGGATGTGCCAGGCAACATGAGGCTAGCGCCCACCCGAGCCCCAAGCACAGCTGAGAGCCGTGAGAAGCAGCTTGAATTCGCGCTAAATGTTAAACCGTAAGCTGGTTCTCCTTAATGGCAGTGCGAGTACCTGAGCTGAGGGGGAGAGAGAGAATTTGTTGCTCCTTCCCTGTTACCTCAGCCCTCACGTCCCACCGGAGCCAAACAGCGTCTGCGCAGCTAAACGCTAGCGTTTAAAAACTACTGTTAGCTTATCGAGAAGGCATAAACAGCTTTACACACAACCACACAGGATACGGCGGTTCACTGAATGCTCAATGGCACACGTTTGGAGAAGAAATCGACTCAATAGACTCAAATCGGAGCAAATATATATGTTTTTGAGTGTGGTGCTGTTAGCTTAAGCTACCTTTAATATATATCCTTGTTTAAACCTGAGGCTGATGGTAACTTAGTGAGAAGGCTAAACCACCAGCAGGCAAGATTAGAGAATAAAGACTCATATTTGAGCAGGTAAACCTGGTTTTTGTGTATGAAGCCATGAGCTTAGGCTACTTTTAATATCACTATTAACACTCAAGGCTAACGTTAGCTTAGCAAGATGGCTAAACCACCAGCATCTGTCTCACTGAGATACGTTTAGGGAATAAAAACTCATATTTGAGCAGGTAAACCTGTATTTTTTGTGTATAAGTGGTTATAAGAGTCCTTGGGCAAGACTCCTAACATTACCTTCACCTACCTGTGTAAAATGATCACATTGTGAGTTGCTCTGGATAAGAGTGTCTGCCAAATGCCGTAAATGTATAAGGCTGTAAGCTTAGCTAGTTTTAATATATATCCTCATTAGCACTTGTGGCTAATGTTAGCTTAGCAAGAAGGCTAAACCACCAGCAATTCTGGCTCATTGAGGTAATTTTAGGCAACAAAGATATTTGAGCAGGTAAACCCGTGTTGTGGTGTATGAAGCCGTAAGCTTATGCTACTTTTAATATATATCCTCCTTAGCACTCGGGGCTAACGTTAGCTTAGCAAGAAGGCTAAACTGAGGTAAGTATGGAGGATGAAGGCTTAGAGGATCTTGGTCAGAGCATTAATACATAAAATATTTAACGACTTAATCAACATAGACGATCTTTTGTGTTTTAAATCATGACTTCAGCTGTGCGAAATATGAACATTGTTTAGTCTGTGCTAACAGCAAGCTAACTCTTCTGTGCACTGAACTGACATTGCATGAAAGCAAGTCTTAAGTAACACCAGCTACATGAACTGTAGCTTGAAATTGCCAAAGCAACTTAACCACCATATTTCGCATGTCAACTGAGTGCGTAGCATGTAGCAATATTCATATAATAACTCATAATTCATTCGCCATTCAGAGGAAAAATGTACTTAGTACAAAATGTATTGGGTTTGGAAAGTTTTTGTGTACCACAGCAGAAATGTTCAAAAATCCCTTTTTCCCCCATAAAGAAAACCAGCTTAGACTCAGAGTTCCTAATACGGTTATTACACAGATTACGGAATGACACCCGACTTCAGAAGCGTATTTATCCGCCTTCCTCAGCGGCGGCCCATGGAGCGAGGCCTTGTTTCTTTCCTTTAGGGGTAAACAAGCCAGGCTTTAGCCTTTTTTGGCACCCCCGGGCGTTTACTGTCCTCTACATTTGCCCCAATCAATGGAGCAAAACAGCGAGCGCTAGCATAGCGCGAGGGCAGCTTGCATGCTAATGTTTTATTCACTTTGTCGAGTTGCTGTTCGACGAGGCCGAGCGCTCTCGACTTCAAATTAATGTGACACGCGCATCCGCGAGCACGGCCATGAAATATTCAGAGCAGGACGTCAACTTGGCCGATTAGCACCCAGGAAAAAAATACAGTAGAGGCGGCCGCAGTCGCTCACCCACTCGCGCCGGCGCACACCAACATTGTTTATGCGTGTCATATAGCCCCCGTTTATTGCCGTGTAAATTACAGAGAGGGAGAGAGAGGCAGCGGGTGAATTTAAGAGCATCTCGCTATGTAAAATATTCATATAATTAGAGGGAAGTTGCTTTGATGCTTTGATCAATTCCTTATGACCGTGCTCGTGCTTTTCTCCGGGCACTGTGCGATTTCGCCCCGCGCCGGGGAGCACAGTGTGACGGCTGCTTCCCGGCTTTTTTGCCATCGCCGCTGGTCGCATCCTCGATCAGCCCGCTTCCTACGTGTTTTTACTGCCGCTCCCGTGTAGCGCTGATGGAGAAGACGCAGAAGAAGCAAAGCTGACGCTAACAGAAGCAAGCTAAACAATGTAACAGCATTTATTATTCATATATGAGGTTATTAATGCATGAGTGAGTGTAGGAGTCTTTCTAACAAGCAGATAAAGAGAGTGTAATTAGGCCTACTGTAACCTAGAAAAAGCATCACCCGGTGAAAAAGCAAGGTTCTAAGCTAGGGGTGGGTGAGCGGATGATGCTTTATCGTTATCGCGATAAATTATGTCAAATTGCGTCATAATATGCCTTTGTGGATCTTGTGGTTATTGTTGGTGCGTGACCCTTTTTGCAATGGAGCTTATGTGCTATGCAATAATGTTGATAGAATATGTTTCAATGGAAAGTGAGCTGGATTTTCATCTCTTTCATATTTATATAAATACTTTTTTGTGGTGGTGGTTCATAAGAAAGTCTGTTTTATCTCAGCTTGGCCGTCTTTGTGGAGCACACAGCAGGGGGCTCTCGCCCCTCCCTCTTTTACCCCTCATTGCTCACTAGCAGCTCAACACAGTCACAACATGTCACACACAGAGGGCCAACAGTGTCCTAGTTAATCTGATAGCAGAGTTATGGAGAAAAGTATATTGTTTCATCATATTAATTGAAAATATCTGAAATATCAGAAAGGGGTTTGGGGACTGCAGAAAGGGGTTAAAAAGCTTGACCAATGGACATTTGTTAGTTAACAGAGATGATACTTTACCACTTTGTCTTGTTCTGTGCCGATACTGATACTGAAACTTTATTGATCCAACTTTTCTAACAATACTGGAACGATACCGATACCTGCTGATACTAATATACCTATATATCTATATCTGTGCTAACAGTAAGCTAACTTTTCTGCGCACTGAAATGTTGTTGCATGAAAATAAGTCTATTATTAAATCACTGCTAAATACTGTGAAGACTAGCACCGGCTACACAAACTGTAGCCTAAAACTGCCAAAGCAACTTAACCACCATATTTCACATGTCAAGTGAGAACACAGCTATCCAACGATACTGGAACGATACCGATACCCTTTGATAACTACATAAACAGCAGGATGTGAAACACTGAATAAAAAGAGTAAAAAACACTGTATGCATAGCTAATGCAGTGTTTTAGTGGCGCTACTCCTCCTGGTCAAGTCAAGTCAAAGTTTATTTATATAGAGCTTTTTACAACAGACGTTGTCATAAAGCAGCTTTACAGGAAAGAAATCAGAGTCCGAGCCCCCATGAGCGTCGCCAATGGCAACAGTGGCAAGAAAGAAACCTTAAGAGGAACCAAGACTCAAAAAGGGAATTCATCCTCCTCTGGTCAACACCGGACAGCAACAATAACAGCAGAGAATAAGGTTTGACCATCAGCATAAGATATGGAAAAGCAATGTCAATGATTTTTTCTATGATTTCTATGGTCTTTTCCAGCTTATTAAACCTCAGAAAAATAAATATGCATATGGTGTATTGTGAAAATGCCTTGAAGTATCATACAGAGTACTGTGCAACAGTTAGAGAGCATTCTCTGTTTATTTAATTTCAAAACCGCCATTAAGTACAAGTCATTTTTCAGGAGATATTTCTGAGGAGATTAAAAAAAAAGAAAGTCAAAAGGAGTTTCCAAAACTGGAGTTCAAAAAATGATTAAAAGCTACAGAGAAATTAGGACTCCTAACGACCACCTGGAAGACCTGCTAGACCACCAAAACTGCCCCCATCAGATAAACAGCACTCAAAGCTTTCATCTTCGAGAGAGAGGAGAAAATCAAGCTGCTTCAGATCTGAAAACATCCACAGGTGTTTCTGTCCATCCTTCCACTGTGAGAAGACGACTCAGTGCTGTGGGTCTGAAAGGATGCGTAGCTGTCAAGAAGAACCTCACTGAGAAAAGGAGACGGGCACATCAAACAAAGAAGCTGAACAATGGACTGACCACCCCAGAGTCCAGACCACAACACCACTGAATGTGTTTGATTACTTCATAAAATGATCAACCAGCTTCTAAGACTGAACTGTGGAGGTGTGGAAAATATCCCTGCAGATTTCTCAGTTGAAAAACTGAGCCTGCTGGAAAGAATGGAAGGGTGGACACACTTAACTGGACAGTAAACAAATGCAGCGTGGTCTCTGACTTCGGCACAGCGCTGTATTTTTGCCATATCCACTCTAAACAGAACCACACGGCTCATTTCCAGACGTCCCCTCCACTCGGAAGCTTCTGACAGATGGACCGAGTTGACTCGAGGGACAGAGGGTGCGGTTTTTACACTGTTTTTTTCAGGCGGGCTGCGGCCACTTGACCTCCAGCGGATGTGTAACTAATGTGCTCTGTTAGGAAACCTGCGTGAGAGGCCGGCCCTCTGACTCACACGCGCGCGTCCAGCATCGATTGAGCTCTGACACCGACACTGGAACTGATGAGGAATTGAGCCAGCGCGAGCCAAGGTGAGCGTCAGGCCGAATGGAGATTAGCGAGCCGAGGCTAGGCTGCAGGATAAAGCTGCATATGCATGTGTTCATTAGAAACACGACATTGAGAAACGGGAGAATTCATCACTGCCAGCAGACAAAGGAAAGAGGCACCTCCTTTAATTCTCTTTTTAGGGGCCCAAGCACCAAAGCTAACCATCTTCTAACGCAGTAGTTCTCAACTCGGTCCTCAGAGCCCAACAGATGGTCCACATTTTTGCTCAAATCAAGCTCCCAACACACCTGTACTAGGTATTCAGTGTCCATGACAGCTTGGTTCAGGTGTACTGGTAGCTAACATGCGGATTGTGGTCTGAGAAGCCTTGAGAAACATAAGCAAATGAGCACAAAACCAGCATTGATAAAACACAAAAGATAAAAAAACAGTAAAACTAATCTGTACATGGCAGAATTAATGATGTTTACTGGTCAAAGTTTAAGGGTAAAGCTGTATTAGACTAGATTTCCATATCCCAGCTTCCAAAACTGATTAAAAAAACATTTTATCTTATTTTTTTTAATTGTTTGAGTTGACACCTGTGGAGACACATCTTGGATGTTTTGAATAGAAAAATAGTTCTAAATTCAAATTTGATGTAGAGCAGCATGAATAACGTCCCTTTATTTGTTAGATATGTAGCTAATGCTAACGTTTTTAGCATGTATGCTAGCAGAATAGGTGCTGCTTTGCTTCTCTTTTTCACTCTCAAGAAAAAAAACTAGACATTTTGCTTGACTCTACGTGTAATTCTGTGTTTTGTGTGTGCGACAACAATAATGTATCGCTTCTTCAGTACAACAAGTGTTTTCTACTGAGTAAACGTAACTTGGTTGTAGAGGTGGGCGATACAGCAATACTGCAATTATACGGTACTTCAAAAAGTTTTCACGATATACGATGCGTCGCGATTAGGGCTGATTATTTTCATTGTTGATGAATCTGTTAATTATTTTCTCGATTAATCGATTCGTTGTCTATAAAATGTCAGAAAATGCTGAAAAATGCCGATCAGTCTTTCCCGAAGCCCAAGATATTTGGGGCGTGGACAATTCGATTAATCGATTACCAAAATAGTTGCCGATTAATTTAATTTTTCTGACATCTGATGAGTTGGAACAAAAAAGTAGTGCCACGTTTAAAAAAACACTATGAATGCAATGTTTTGTATTCAACATTTGACTCACTGAGCTGCTCTAAGTTCAATTAAACATAACTAATTAAATCAAACGAGTAGGTGGGAAGTGTTAAAATAGTGATATAATCCACAACATGCTCATAATAACGATACATATTGTCATACTGCCCAGCCCTACTATGAAGCAAGATAGCTAATTGGCCATTTTGGCCACTTCAGGCTTGCGCTTCAAATGTTGCATACAATAAACAAAAAAAAGACAGTTCATTTGTTAATCGCAGTTAATCGACAGCTAAAATTTCATAATTGTGACAGACATTTTAAAACTTATTGTATAGAAAAAATATCGGATCAGTATTGAATCGGTATCAGTATCGGCCAATACTCAAGGACTAGAGAATGTGGTATCATCCCAACACTAATACATACAGAAGTTTGAACACCCCTGGTCCAATGTCATGTTTTTGTTGATCTGCTAAGTGAAAATAAGTTAACACTTAACACTTAAGAACACACTTAAATATTTTTTCTGTTCGCTGAGTTTAACATACTGGAAAATATACAAAATATACAATGTGCCATAACTTTTATGTTTTATCTCTCCCAGTATGTTAAATCAAATAAACAATAACCGTGCATTAAAATGTGCAGAAGTGTTTAAGATATTAACTTATTTTCACCAAGGGTGCCAAAACTTTAGCACATTGCTGCACCTTACATATTAGTTTCATAGCAGTTACCAAATAATTAACAACTATCAGGGCTGCACGATATTTATCGCGATATTGGTCTCTGTGATGCTGATGTCATGTAAGTCTGCAATATATAATTGAGCCCTCTAACCAATCACAGTGTTGCTTACTGTGTGCTGTGAGCATCCTGACCAATCACAGCTCCAGACGAGGGTTCCTGTGGGTCCAGGATTTACATGCAATCAGTGGTCAAATTGTAAATATTTTTAAGTGGGGATTGTGGGGGTGGTCCTTCAAATACGTCCAAAGCAATGGACTGAGCGGATGGAAATGAAATATGTATAATGGACTTGGTATCATATATAATCTTACATGATGTCACACGACAACATTCATCCAAAAGGGGATTAAAGGTATTATTCTGACCAGGGGGGTGGCATCCAATTGCAACCCCCCCCCTCCAAAACAGCCCTATATGTAATCCAACAAAAGTGAACTATGTCATGTTAAAGAATAATCCATGCCAGCAATGCATTTTTAATATACTGCAAGGCATATCGTGGTATTGTTTGTTGATACTAAGCCTTTAAGATTATATTAGAAAAGATTAATAATGAATAATAAGAACGATTAAAGGATTAAAGGGATGTGACTTGGGCTGGGTATCGTTCAGAATGCTCCGAAACGAATACCCATACTTTTGATTTTGACATCGATTCCTGGACGATACATTTTCCGATAGTATAACAGAAAGTGGGCGTGGCTTAGAGGTGCTGGATGTGGGAATATTTACGGATCAACTAATCGAGACATTGATAACATGCATAGAATGTAATTTAGACAGCCAATCAGGAGTCTAGATTTTGGAACAAGCATGCTTATTGGCTCACTGAAGCTGTAGTATGTAAATGAATGGGTTTTTACTAATTTTACTACATTTGAAGACATTTTTATGATATTTTATTCACCATTTCAGATACTTAAACCAGTTAAACAAGCCTAATTACGCTCTCAGTGATCTGTAAGTTTGGGCGATATGATCATAAAAGCATGCAGTGTATCGAGATATCAAAATGCATCGCGATATTGATAAAGTATCGTCACATTGCCCACCTCTAGGCAGTACTGAAGTAATACAGTCTCTACCATAAAAGCATCAGCCCCAGCAGAGGAAGCCGAGGTGCCGGCTCTCACTCTGGCGTGAACTTTACTGTCAGCCAGCCGCGACACCTCCACCAAAGGTCATGCCAGGGGTCAGCGGCCGGCGCCTTTTAGCAGCTTGTTGCCTTTCTCGCAGGTGAGACCTTGTTTCTCACCGTAAAAGGTGTCGTCTCTTCGACGCTGACCCCCTGCTCCTCTCTTTCCGTCAGCCTGACGGTCAGCTGAACAGACGCGGCCAATTAGCACCTGCGGTGGACGCGGTGACCGTCACACTCGGGCTGACACGAAAGGCTCGAGGGGGCTGACTGTGTGTCACAATCCCTGCTTTCAAATTCAGCCTGGGATGGGTGGCTAAGTTCTCGAGAACCTGCTCGTGGCAGGGAAAAGCCGTCATGCCCGACCCACTGGTCTCACATTCAACATGTATGATAATACCTGCTGCATTACCACTTAACATACATGGACGTGCTGAACTGACCATCTGCATTTCAGTGGTTCGGAGGGGGCAGGCAGGTGAGGAGGCGCTACCCCAATGTAACAGCACCAGCACTGGACAGACCAGTGTCCAGGGCTGCAGTTCTGCCATGTTGGACAAAATATACACTCTTCAAGGGTTCTTTAGTAAAGGAGTACTATATAGAACCGTTTTGTGCTTAGATGCTTTGTCAGATTGATGGAGAATGATACTATATAGAACCTTTTTCCACATGGTTCTATGGAACACCAGAAAGGGTTCTTCTATTGTTCCAAGCTTGACATCGTAACAATAGCAGAACCTTCTTTGGTGCTACACAGGTACAAGATGGTTCTTCAGAGGTTCTTTAGAAAAAGCAATGGTTCTATCTAGAACCATAATCTCCATGCTTAAATGGTTCTCTGCATGGTGACTGCTTGGTGCTGTACAGAACCACTTCCAAAAGGGTTCTACATAGAACCAAAAGCACGTTCTCCATCAATCTGAAGAACCGTTCCACCACGCAAACAACATATAAGCATGCAAAAAAGTCAAGGTTCTAAATAGACTAAAGAACCCTTGAAGAACCATTTCTTTTAAGTTCATATTTCACACCAGGCCACCCATTTTTTTTTACCCAAAAAATGGAGCTCAGTATTGACATTCCCAAATGTAAAACAGGGATATTTCCATTGTACCGGATAATTAAGCAAATCTGTAGAGTGATGTGCATCCAATATGTCTATTGTGGTGGTAAAAAGTCATATTTATCACCTTCAGGGTGTCATTTTGTGGGTTCTTCGCCTGCTGTGGCAAAAAACAACACATTCCAACACAATGAGAGGAGTGACTGTATGAGCTGGATCCAAGTTTCTAAGCACTTCAGCATGTATTTGTACGTGCAAGCATTTTATTCAGTTGAAAACAGCCCTAATATGCTGTACGCAAAGTCCTAGACTCCAAATTGTGGTTCTTTTTTATGTAGAAAAGAGATCCGGGCTGGGAAATCTACCCCCAGAACAGTGAATACAATAGAAATAGAGCTAAACAAAGCCCTACCTTCCACTGCAGAGACCACAGGGACCAGGAGGCTGTATAAAAACAGCAAATAATCCATCGTCATGAGCCTCGGCTTTGCAACATGAAGAGCAGTTTGGGCGAAATCTCAGCCAACAAGCTCACTTTGCTGGATCCAGCACTTTCACTACGGACTGACGGCTCAGTGAAAAACAATTAAATCGCAGCTTTTATTAATTCGCATCCATCTCCACTACATTCCCTTCCATTTCCGTCCACAATCCGGGAGTTAAAGCCGCGGAGAAAGTGCCCGTCCACCGCAGCCGCCGCCGCCGCCGCCGTCAGTCAGTCATGTTGTCGCTGCTGGACTGCTGTATGAAATCCTCGCGTAATACAAAGCGTAATTTTTTTCCTCCACCCGCATTCGCGCAAGCCCCGCCCTCCGAGCGCTGGGATTGGCTGGTAGTACGAACGACTAGCCAATCGTAGCGCGGGTGACGCTTAGCCGTGAGCATAGCGCTCCGTATCCAATCGTAGCGCACTACACGGGACGGGACCAGCCAATCATATCGCGTAATGGGCGGGACCTGTACGAATACGGGCGTGAAAAGAAATGAATAAGCCTCGCCGCTCAGGCAGCTGTTGCTTCTCTGCGACTGCACATAGATAGAGGAGAATTGGGAGAAGCGACGAAAAGGGGGGAAAGGAGGGGGCAATCAACAACAGCCCCCCACCCTCCAGCTTCACCGGGGAGGGGGGGATTTCACCAAGTGAGCCAGAGAAGTTCAGACCCGTCCAATAGGATTAGAGGCGTGGGGCTGTTTCTATTGGACAGGCCTAATTTTCTGGCCTTATCCTAATCCTAAAAAGAGAAATCCGGCTGTGGGAAATATTTCCCACCCTCCTCCTTCCCCTCCTCCTCCTCCTCTTCCTCCTCCTCCTCCTCCTCCTCCTCCTCTGCATTCCCCTGCGGTAAAAAATGCACACTGCACACAAGATTCATCTTTAATGGCCTGATCAAAAGACCTCTTTCCATTTTTTCACTTCTAATTCTCCTCCTATTTATTTTTCTCCACTGTAGGCATAATAAAAACTCGGCCGTGTAGTGAAGCAGGGGGAGGGGGTGGCAGTGGGGTCTACACTGCAAGCTTTGTCCCACAGCGCCCCCTTCAGGCTGTTTTCTGTTCGTACGCTGTGAAAGACTGTGGCCCTGTCTCTGTGGGAGGTCATTTTTACTTACTATTGTGCTTACTTAAAGGGGAACTCCACCAACTTTTCAAAAATTCTGCATAGTTAAATGGTTAAGATGTAAACATAATCATTCAGAGCGATTTGCTGTGAAACGGTTCCGTTCTAGAGACACTTGCCGAGTCAGAATTGTTCACATTGGTGGTGATGAGAACCAGACGTCCACGTCTAACAGCTCCCTCACAGAGAGTTATTACATGAAATGGTTATGAATACACTTCCTCACACCTGAGACACTGTTTTATGAATTCTTTTTATTTTAATCCATTCATGGCTGGGGGATACACGCAGGGTGTTGTGAGGCAAAATAGTCCCCAAAGAAAACTTATTATTTTCAGATTTATGACTATTTTACCATCGTCAACATTGCATATGAAACTCAAAAGTCAAGTGGAGGTTCACTGGTGGTTTTGGATAGTAAATAAAATGTCTACATTTGTGTTGTAGTCATGGTGACCCCTGGTTCCTATCAACACCACTGTAAAGAAATCTGAGCCTCTACAATGAACAGTTTCACACCAAACCACTCTGAGTGACTCTGTTTACATCTCAAGGACTGAATTGTTCAGAAATTTAAAAAAATTGGTGGAATTCCCCTTTAAGTACTATTCAAGGATTAGTTTTATGTTACGAGATAATGTGATTTTAACCACAGGATGTCTGTAATGTTTAAGATTGGATAAGAAAAAAGGGGAGAAAACAAGTTTGAGCTGCTCAGGACTAGAAGATCTAATCATAATTTCACTCACCTCAACCTTCTATAACTGTCTTAAAGGGGAATTTTACAAATTAAATTTTACAAATTGCTAAGATTATTACTTGTAAAAATGTTCAGTTCCATTATTCCTCAAAAGAGCTCAGTAACACTGAGATTGATAACTGATCACATTGATTTATCAGTCTACTCAGGCTTTAGCAGAGCTCAGTAACACTGAGATTAATAACTGATCATCACATTGATTTATCAGTCTACTCAGGCTTTAGCAGAGCTCAGTAATGCTGAGATTAATAACTGATCACATTGATTTATCAGTCTACTCAGGCTTTAGCAGAGCTCAGTAATGCTGAGATTGATAACTGATCACATTGATTTATCAGTCTACTCAGGCTTTAGCAGAGCTCAGTAATGCTGAGATTAATAACTGATCACATTGATTTATCAGTCTACTCAGGCTTTAGCAGAGCTCAGTAATGCTGAGATTAATAACTGATCACATTGATTTATCAGTCTACTCAGGCTTTAGCAGAGCTCAGTAACACTGAGATTAATAACTGATCACATTGATTTATCAGTCTACTCAGGCTTTAGCAGAGCTCAGTAACACTGAGATTAATAACTGATCATCACATTGATTTATCAGTCTACTCAGGCTTTAGCAGAGCTCAGTAATGCTGAGATTAATAACTGATCAGACTGATTTATCAGTCTACTCAGGCTTTAGCAGGAACTTGTTTTTTACACACTGTGATTTTTGATTTAGTGTAAGTATTTTAAAAGTATCCTCATAATCATGCAAAATATAACTGTATTCTGAATACACTGCCTTTACAAAATCTAACTTGGACCGAATACAAATACATAATTTCTGTTTTCTGCATACTTATTCCCAGTACTTGTATTCCTACACATCCCAACCCTGGATGCATGCAAGGATTTTCAGATGAAATCTAACTTAATGTATTATTGTCATCATAAAATGTCTTGCTGGAATTTGCAAAGTATGTTAAATGAAAAACAGACTTCAGTTTGTCTTTGTACAGTACAAATGTACACATGTAGCAAAAATCTCATCCCGCTGGTCTCCAAGGTGCAAAGAAGTAAACATCTTGCAAATAACAACTGACAGTGCTGCAAATTACATGCTACTGTATGCAGAAGATGCATCACACAAAGAGTGTACAATACATACAATAAGACATACCAGACAAATAGCAGCCTACGGCAGTAATACAACACTGAACATGCTGCAGCATGCTGTATGAACTGGTATCGTGTGTCTTAGCTATGGATACATCATGTAGCAGCTTCACAAACAGTATATTCACAGTTAAACTTGTTTCAACGCGCAACAGTTAATGCGGGTCACGTAGGACACAGACATTCAGTGCTTTGAGCTGGTGTGGTAAGCATAAGGCAGATATAGGAACTCCTTTCAGTTCAATGCCATATTGATTTTGGCCTTTCAGTCATGCATCGACTATAATCTTTATCACAGTAAACATCCTCAAATCCTGCTCGCCACAGCAAACATGCACTTATTAAATTGCAATGAAGAACTTATGGGCTATAGGCTATTATTATACATCAAAAGTCAGAGGCCATCCTTCATTTATTTAATTTCTAGGCAAAATAGCCACTAAAGGGCCCATGAGAAAATTGGACATGAAAATTGTCCTATTTTAAAAAATTAAAAGACTTCCATGTGCTTTCACTGCTAAACATTCAAAGTAGCCCATTCACGGTCCACTCTATACAGCTCACTTATGGAAACTAAGCTGCAAAACAGACTGATTTGAATTAGTTGTTTCTGTGATGTTACAAAAACATACACTTATTAAATTTCAATGAAGATCTTATGGGCTAAAAGCTATGGTTATAACATTTTTACAGCAAGATTGAAAATCAAAAGTCAGGGGCCATCCTTCATTTATTTAATGTCCAGCCAAAATGGCCATTAAAGGGCCCGTATTATGGAAAACCAAATTTCCCTAGCTTTTTTTTTTTCCAAAATAAAAGACTTCCATGTGCTTCCACTGTTAAACAATCAAAATAGCCCATTCACTGTCCACTCCATACAGTCCATATATGGAAAAAGCTGCAAAACAGACTGTTTTGAATTAGTTAATTAAAAACCAGAGTGTTTACATACGTCCACCTATTCAGCATACAGCAGTTTAGCTCCACCCACTAACGCTAAAGTTCTAAGGACTGCTTTCTGAATGAGGCACAAGACAGGGCAGCCAATCAGAACAGAGCTCATTTGCATATGTCAGTCTTATTGGTAGAGTGACTAAACAGCCCATTTCATATTAAGAGATAAAGAGAGGTTGTAAAACTGTCATGTATGTCATTACGACATCTCTCTCTCGCTTTATGTGCCGTTTATCTGACGGGGACAGTGTTGGTGGTCTACCAGGTCTTCCAGGTGGTTGCTAGGAGACTCATTTTCCCAACATCCTTTACTCATTTTTGTAGCTCAAGCTTTTAAAACTTTTTTTCACTCTCGACTTTCTCCCTTTTTCTGCAACTTGTCCTTTAGACATATCTCCTAATGCTACTAATGCTACTAATGCTAATGCTATACTAGTAATGTAAAATCTATTTTACTGCCCTGCGCTGATTCGCCCACACAAATGCACAAAAGTACCCAACTCTAGAACAACTTGCACATCTGTTCCCAGCAGCGCGTCTCGACAGGACCTTGTTTTGTAGTGTGTGGACACTTAGCCACTGGCAGAGTCTGGCCGGGGAATAGAGAAGAGGAAGAGAGGGATGAGAGAAAGAGAGTGTGCTTCAGGGCCAGGCTCTGGCTCAATACAGTAAGCTGACAGCAGTGGATAAAGTATTCTCCCCATGTGGCCAGCCTTCAAGACATGGTTGAAATATGTGAACCGCCCAGCCCATATGTGGAGCGGAGCAGCGAGGCGATGAAAACGGCTTTTGGTTTTAGCGCTGCGGCTGGAGGCCCACGGGTCACAGGAGCATTGACCGTTCTTGGAAAAAGTGCAGAGCGGTGTTCACAGTTCCAGAAGGTCAGTGTCATTTTCGACACGCCTTTTGACGGGGCTATCCATGGCTGCGCTCCATGGATATCCGCTCGATCGTTTAGCATTGATCCGTTTGTTGTTCTAGGAGTCAGCAGGCCGTGCAACTTTGACACGCTTTGGCCATTATTCGAAATATCGAAATATCTCCGCACGGTTTTGCTTTCTCTGAGAGGAAACTCCAACCTTTATTTACAAGGAGCAAGACAAATAGACTTGAAGGGGAATTCAGCCACTTTTTCAAAGTTTCTGCATAATTCAATTATTGAGATGTAAACAGTCATTCAGAGTGGTTTGGTGTGAAATGGTTGACTGTAGAGACTCAGATTTCTTTACAGTGGTGTT